GCTGAATTTATGCTGTTAGAGCAAGTTTCCATTCATGAGTTGGTTTTTCAGACTTATATTTATGTCTTGACACACATATCAATTCATGCTGTGCTTCAAGAGGTTAACTGAACTTTCATTTAATTTCATTCAAAACCTCCCACTAGTAAGAAAAGCACACAGTCTTTCTTGTTATTTTTCTTTATACTTGGAGAAATGACGAATGTTCTAAATGAAAATCCATTTTAAGCAGAAATCAACATGAGCAGAATCTAACCCCCTGATTGCAACCCAGAAGTTAGAGCCAACACAAAACACCCCCCTCCCCGCACACTGGCAGGTTCCACTTTTAAGCCCCGCCCCTCCATGTAAACAAATGGGGCATGTCCTGAAAGCAGAACAAAGGGGTGTAGGGACTGAGAAGATAAATGATAAATGAAAAATGACCCGCACTTGTATAGCACCTCTCAGAGTAAGGACTCCAAAGTGTTTTACACTACAGTGTTTCATTCATCCATTCACACACACATTCACAAGATCACCAATGTATGATGGTGCTTGTCCATGTAAGGCCCTAAAGACCAGAACCAGGATCTTGAAATGAACCCTGAAGTTGACTGGCAGCCAGTGACAAAGGATTCCTTGGAGAAATGCAACAGATGGATGCTTTTTGTGGTTTCTAATTGCCTTGGAGTGAGGACAATTAAAACTCTTTCCTCCATGGTGTGAAAGGAAACAGACTCCAAATGGTCCTGTCCACATTGTGACATGATTTACATGCTAAAGGAAATATTTTCAACCGATTAGCATAGCCACACACTGGTGGAGAGAAGAGGACGTTTGTGGAACTGATGCAATTGTTCTTGTTGACACTTTTCAAACAGGTGCAGAGGAGAATGTGAAGCTACAAAATCTCCACGTAGCGTAAGAACATCAAGACCCGAAATGAAAAGAATGAATGAACATATCACATTGTTTCCCTAGTATGTTAGACTTAGTCTGGGTTTTAAATACATCTAAAATGCCATTAAGATGGTTGGTAAATGTAAGTTTTGAGTATAGAATGGCAGCACAAAAGTACCGCAGTTGTTCCAGTCATGTGGTTTTCCTTGTATCTTTTTATTATCTGTTCACTGTGTGGTGTGTTAAAGTGCTGAGGGATTTCTTGATTACATTTTCAAATTTAAAATCAAAACGTTCATGAAGACTTTTCATAACGATGCATTAGTGCCACTGCAAAGGGAAGAAAAAGAGAAACTGCTGAGGTTAAAAGTTAAACGTCTAGAAAAAAAAGTTGACTTACATGGGGCAGCAGTAGCTCAACAGGTTGAGCGAGTTGCCCAGTAATCGGAAGGTTTCAGGTTCGATCCCGGCTTCGGACAGAGAATTCTGCTGTTGTGTCCTTGGGCAAGACACTTCACCCACCTTGCCTGCTGATGGTGGTCGGAGGGACCGGTGGTGCCTGTGCTCGGCAGCCTCACCTCTGTCAGTGCGCCCCAGGGCAGCTGTGGCTACATCGTAGCTCATCACCATCAGTGTGTGAATGGATGAAGTGTAAAGTGCTTTGGGGTCCTTACTCTGAGAGGCGCTATAGAAGTGCGGGTCATTTATTATTTATTTACCATTTATGTTTATGTATTTAGCAGACACTTTTGCCCAAAGTGACTTACAAGTCATAATGAAGCCAGCAGGTTGCCCTTGAGGCTAACAACAAACACTAATCAATCAATCTTAGGTGGCAGTGAGGCAGCATGATCAGTTATAGACGGAAGTGAACAAGGAGCGGACAGTAGAGGACAGGTGCAGGGAGGGTGCTAGTTTAGAAGATGCTCTCTGAAGAGCTGGGTGTTCAGGAGTTTCTTGAAAATCAACAAGAAAGCCCCTGTTCTAGTAGTGCTAGGTAGGTCACTGCACATCTGTGGAGCGACACATGAAAAGAGTTTGGATTGTCATGGTGTAGGCACTGCTAGCCACGATCCCTTGATGACCGGAGTGGCCGGGCCGTGACGTAAGCCATTGCAAGAGGATTCAGGCACATGGGTGCTGTACCATCCAGGACTTTGTATGCTAGTGCTAGCAATTTCAGTTCAGTTCAGTTCATTTTTATTTCAAACATTTCACACATATATCATTACAAAACATAATTTCATTATTTGTTTGAAAAGGTGTAGGAAGAAGTATTAACTTATTTGTCCCTACCCCCAAGTTTTACTTCTTATTCATTTAATTTTCTTTCCATCTTAAATTAAACAAACCACCTATGAGGAAAAAAAATATATATATATATATTTTAAAAAGCAACAACAAAAAACTAAACAAAACCAAACAAAACAACCTATGGAAAACAGAGAATGTGTAAATTTGCAGATTCACCAGTTATGGAGAAAGAAGATAAACCAAGCAAACCAAAAAAATAAAAATAAAAAATAAAAAATCACCGAAAAGAAGCACAACAGCATAACCATCCACTTTACCGTCCTGGGTTAACCATGTTTTCTTCATTCTTATACTTACTTAAGATTAGATTTTTATATTTGACTATAAACTGGTTTATGTTTTGACTTTCTTTCATCTCTTCTGTTAGACTGTTCCATAATTGAACTCCTGCAATTGCAATTGACATAGTTTTTAAAGTTGTTCTAGCACTTTGTATTTTCAAATTCCATTTCCCTCTTAAGTTATACCCACCTTCTCTTTCTTTGAACAATTAACAGATTTCTTTTGGAAGCAATTTATTTCTTACTTTATACATTATTTGCGCTATTTTGAACTTCACCAAGTCTTGGAATTTAATAGCTTGGATTTCGACAAATAGTGCATTTGTATGGTCCCTGTACCCCACATTATCAATTATTCTAATGGCCTTTTTCTGTATTATAGTTATCGTCTGTATGTTACTTTTGTATGTGTTTCCCCAGACCTCTACACAATAACTCATATATGGCAGTATTAAAGCACAGTATAATATGTGCAGGGTTTTCAGATCCAACATCTTGTTTGCTTTCCCCACGATGGCAACAACCCGTACCAATTTCCCCGAACAAAAGTAATGTGTGGCTTCTAACAAAGCTTATGGTCAATGATCACACCAAGAAATTTTATTTCATTTACTCTTCCTAAATATACATTATCCACACAAATGTCAATTTTAATGTTTTTCTTTTGGTTACCAAATAACATAAATCTAGTTTTATCTAGATTCAATGATAATTTATTTATATTAAACCACTTTTTTAATATCATTAATCCCCGTGTGATCATCTCCAAGACCTGTGTCAATTCCACACCTGAACACAGTATAATTGTGTCATCTGCAAAGATTACAAACTTTAACGTTTTTGATACTCTACAGATATCATTTAAGTACATAATAAACAATTTTTGGCCCAGTACTGTACCTTGAGGTATGCCACAAGCTATATCCATTTGAACAATTTGAATTTGATGCCTGCAGCTAGCGGTAGCCAATGGAGCTCAATGAACAGAGGGATGACATGTACCCTTTTAGACTGATTGAAGACCAGATGTCTCACAGTACAGGCTGGAAGACCAGTTAGAAGGGCATCGCAGTAGTCAAGTTGGGAGATGACAGTAGTTTGCACCAGGAGCTGTGTGGCATATTGTGTTAGGTACGGTTTGATCTTTTGTATGTTATACAGCGCGAAGCGGCATGAACGAGCGACAGAGGCAACGTGATATTTAAAGGTCAGCTGGTCATCAATCACAACACCCAAATTTTGTACTGCCTTTGAAGGAACCAGAGATTGGGAGTCATAGCCTAGTGAACTAGACCAAATTCTTACTTTGTCTGGCTTGCCAGGCTAAGGGAGTCATGAAGTCAGTAAAAACCACCTTACAACCCTCAGGGATGAATGCAATTGGAACAATCAGTCGGCGTCAGCATCACAACAGGGTTTGTGTTCTGAAATAGTAATTTTTTTCTCAACATTTTGACTGATCTTGACCCTTTTGCCAATTTTTTTCCATTTTCCCCTTATGGTGGCACTGTGATAGAGATTTTGAATACTGGAGCAACACTGCATCAATTTACTGTGATATCTATGCTGCTGTGGGACGGCAGCACTGTTGCCTTGCATCAATTAGAAAACCTTGCAAAAGAGGTTTTTAACCTCAATGGGATTTTCTATCTAAATAAAGGTATTTTTTTTATTAATTAGGTTGCAGGCTCAAATCCCAGCTGCAGCCTTTCTGCATGGAAATAACCTGTTCTCCCTATGCATATACAGGTTTTCCTCTGCACAGAACAAGAACATATATGTGTGTATTCTCTTTGACTATAAATAAAGAGCTCGTTCATGGGTGAACTGGCAATCAGGGTTAGTGTTATCACAGAAATAGGTTACAGGTTTACTCCATATTTTCATAACTCATTCATATATAAAACCTTGTTATTTGGATACACTGAAATGAAAAATGTGTTTTCTTTATTTATTTGACAACTATTAAGTAAGTAAATGTTTTTTTTTTGTAAAGCGCCTTTCGCAGATATGAATCACAAAGCGCTGTGCAACATGAGTAAAATCAAGGCAAATACCTCAAACCGATAAAAACAGATCAAAAAAACAATAGCAGTGACAAAATAGTAAACAAAATCAGGAGTAAAAACAAAGTCAAGGTATGAGCAAAGACAAAGCCATCTTTCAGAATATTTAGCGGGGGAATGTCTGGATGAAAAGGTGAGTTTTAAAATGTTTTTTGAAGACCTCTACAGTTTTGGAGAGACAGAGTTTTGAAGGCAGACTGTTCCAAAGTCTGGGGGCAAAAGTCTGAAATGCCCTGTCCTCTTTGCTTTTTAGTCTGGTTCGAGGAACAGCCAGGAGGTTTTGAGATGTGGATCGAAGGTTCCGTGAAGTGGTGTGTGGGGATAAAAGCTCAGATAGATAGTTTGGAGCCTGGTTGTTAAGAGCTCTATAGGTCAGCACTAATACTTTAAAGAGCAAGTCACCCCTACAAGAAACTTACTTCACTCCCACTTCATGTTTGAAAAAGGCAACAAATGCTGTTGCTTGACAGACCGAGAGGGCGGAGCCGCTAACAAATACACACACACACACACAGGCTTACAATGGCATTGTGATATCATAATGTACCAGATGACATCATAGCATACCTCTTAGCCAATAGCGGTGGCAGATTTAAATTCAAATACAGTGCAGATTTTTTCCCTGACGACAGCACAACACTGACAGTTTTAGGCAGAATATTTTAATTTTAACCAAGATGCACTGAACTGCCAAATTGTTGACTACACGTGTCTGTAGCACGATTAGACACTCCTTTATATAGTTTATCAGCAAAAAAAATGTGATTTGGGGGTGACTTGCTCTTTAAATTGAATTCTAAATTCTACCGGGAGCCAGTGGAGGGACTGTAAAACTGGAGTGATGTGAGTTTGTCTGCTGGATTTCGTTAGGAGTCTGGCTGCTGCATTTTGGATGGCTTGAAAGCGTGAGAGGGAGGTTTTGCTGAGACCAATAAAATGAGCATTACAATAGTCTAAGCGTGATGACACAAAGGCATGGATGATTATTTCCAGATCTGCAGTTGAAACCAGTTTACGGACTTTTGAAATGTTTCTCAGTTGAAAGAAACAAGAGTGTGAGATGGTTTTGACGTGTGAATCTAAACTTAAAGCTGGATTAAAAAATAACTCCCAGGTTTCTAATGTTGGACTTGGCTGTTGGGCAAAAAGAGGCAATTTCCTACTCGATTTTTTGCTGAAGTTCCGGGGGTGCAGCGATCAGGGTCTCTGTCTTGTTGGCATTGAGAACAAGAAAGTTGCTGGACAGCCAGTTACTGATCCAGGTCAGGCAGAGCAAGGGTGGCCAGCTGTCCAACTGGTATGGCATGAAGGACATATAGAGCTGAATATTGTCAGCGTAGATGTGGTAGGATATGTCAGGGAAAGACTGAATGATGCCAGCTAGAGGAAGAATATAGAATGTGAATAGTAGAGGCCCTAGAACTGAACCTTTTGGGACCCAGCAGGTTACAGAGGCAGTATCTGAAGAGAAGGTTTCTGACTTCACTGTGAATGTTCTGTTGGTGAGATAAGAAGAGAGCCAGTCTAGAGCAGAACCTGAGATACCAGCCAGAGCATTTAACCTGTTCAGTAGAACGTTGTGGTCTACTGTGTTAAATGCTGCACTGAGGTCAAGCAGAACCATGACAGAGCATTTCCCTGCATCAGCAGCCATCAGGAGGTCATTATGCACCCTTACTAGAGCAGTCTCAGTTGACTGCTGCTTCAGAGAGCCAGATTGGAAGGGGCCAGAGATATTTGACTTAGAAAACCAGGATCTGAGTTGGGTTTCAACAACCTTCTCAAGTACTTTGCTGATGAAAGGTAGCTTAGATATGGACCAAAAGTTACTGGTGGAGCTGGCGTCAAGGTTGGGTTTCTTTAAGAGAGGAGTCACTACTGCATTTTTAAAGTAAGATGGAACACAGCCTTGGCTCAGTGAGCTGTTGATTATAGTCAACAGAGATGGACTGATAGAGGCAAGGGACCTGACTTAGACAGAGGGAGGTAACACATCTGATGAGCATGATGAGAGCTTCATCTGACTGATTATTGAGGTTCAGTCATTTAGTGTGATTGGGGAGAAGGAGGTGAAAGACTCGGAGCGTTGAGGGGCCTCCTCGCTGATGGGGGGGAACTGGTGAAATGCTAGATCTTAGATTCAACGCCTTGTTTGCAAAAAGGTGGAGAAATATGTTCCAATCATCAGCTGAAGATAGCTGAGCCTGCCGAGGAGGAGAAGAAACGATGCTGGAGATGGTATCATACAAAACCTTAGGATTATTCTTATTTTGGCATATGAGGTTGCTTAAGAAAGAAGACCTGGCATTTTCTACAGCTTTGTTGTATGACTGGAGAAGTTCTTTAAAATATTTGTGATGAACAACCACACCTGTCCTCTTCCACCGACGTTCTGCTTTTCTACAGGAGCGTTTAAGATTAAGAATCTGGTTTTTCAGCCAAGGTGAACTGGAGACACTGGAACTGGTTTTGTGTGGGGCAGCCTGATCTAGAATTTTGAGGCAATTTTTTTTATTTGCGGAATAAAATGGAGAGAAATAAAACATTTTTAAAATGAGTCCCTCTCCTCAGTCTTTTCCTCCTGGGAGCACTAATGACTGATGGTAATTACATTTAATGAGAACATGGGGACGTCTCCTGGATGCACCTCTGCAAATTGCTCCCAGTGAGGGGTCTGAAGTGGGATAGGGTAAGGGGCAATGGGACAGTAGAGGTTGGGGCCAGGAGTGTTTGCTCTGGGTTTTGGGGCCAGGACCTTCAGTGATAGTTGTCACTCACTGAGCAGTGAAACATGCCATGCATTTGTCTGCTTTTGTCCTGCTTGTTTGTCCTACAGAGATAACCACACAGAGGTGATGCTTGTCTTGGCTCTATTGTCCAAGGCTGTTGTCAGACCTTCCATGCCCCGTCTCCCCTCATTCCCAGCTCTGTGACTGGTCTTTTTGCTGCTGTTTTCTAGCTGCAGGGGGTAACTCGACCAATTTAGTTAATCCATTAATGACCAATTGTCTCCTCCTACTCCTGCTGCTTGGGCAAACAGCTAGGTGGGGGAGGTCAGGCTTTGTTGACCTATAAAAGTCAAAGTGGAAGCAGTCAGCCAGTGTCACTGGATGGCTCCAGTCAGCACTGACTTTACAGACCTTTACTAAGCCTTTTGCTCTTTCTGATTTGCTCATTTTTAACTTCACTCTTGTGTGTGGAGATGATGGGAAAGCTGAATTTGTTCTGCCTGCTTCTGAGCTTCTCCTATACTGAAGCTCGTATTTGGGCCTGGATGCTCAACATGCCTCATACCCCTCCCAAAGAAGGGGCTAAAGCACTCAGAGAGAACATTCCCATCTCCAAAGCTCTCACGGTAAGAATGCTTTCTCATAAATACAATGCTTTGTTAATGTTGCCATTCCTATCGTGCTGGCTTAGAGCCAAAAACAGTTCCAAATAAAATAAATGATAAAGTGAAGGATTGAATGTGCTTGCTCTCTTTGTCAGGCTGTGTGCGACCACGACAGAGCTTGTGGACGTGGCTTCTCATGCGATCGCCACTTTGGTCTTTGTGTGCCTTTACGAGGGGAGGGCCACTACTGCCGGAGGGATGCACAGTGTGTCCGTGGACTCAGCTGTATGTTTGGAAAGTGCCACCGCAGCATCCCCAATGGTCAAGAGGGTGAGACAGAGAACTAAACATGGATCTGGAAACAGTTTGTCTTGATCGGCTTAAAGAAAACCCCCTTTTGTCATTCAATCAGGCTCCAGGTGTAAAGTTGACAGAGACTGTGAAGCTTCCATGTGTTGTGCCCGACATCACGGTGAGCAGGTGTGCAAAAGGCGGCTGATTGGTGGAGAAAGCTGTTTTGTTCCTGACGGCGGCCTGGCATTCAGCATCAACCAGATTTGTCCATGTGAAGACGGCCTGCTGTGTCGTGAAGACAGTGGACCGCACCGGAGAGAGTGAGTACAAAAGCATGTCCAAAGAAAAGTTTTTACATCAGAGGTCCTGGAAACAAAATGTCGTGCTCATGAATGTGGGTTTCCAGGAACTATAAATAACTCATTGCTTCATATGTGCAGTTTGCCTCAATCTAATATTTGACAAAGTGGTCAAATAACTGAAATGTGGGCAAAAGAATATTTCTTCTACAACTTTATCTTGTCAGACAGGTAACAGTAATATAAACCTCCTTACTGTCTGAAATTCTTCATGAACTTTTACTGACCCAGAATGTGTTTCTAGTTGCAGATTGTAAAAACTCAGATGTAACTTTGTGTCACACATGATCACTGCTGCCTTGGTTCATCCTGATGACATGCAAACAGAGGAACTGAACTCTTCTTTTGTGTTTTGCTGCAATGTTTTATAGACAAAAGATTAAAGTATTGTGTTGAAATCATAAATCAGCAGAGCAGTTTTGATTCTTACACAAGACTGTTTAGCGTTTACATAAATATCCCACTATGCATTGCACACTATGTAATGAGTTTTTACCATTGAAAATATAGTGCATGTGAAAGTCTGACTGGGACAAGCAAAACAGAAACATTCTCCAAAAATTATATTGATGATCATGTCAATGATTGCTATGTTGTACAAACTCACATAATCCCATCATTATGTCAAATGCATTAGTTCTAATCCAGATGTCTTTTAAATTAGCTGAATTAGAAAGAAATGGGCTTAATGAGCAATGTCTAACTTTGGTTTGTTTCCTTTCCAGGAGAGATTTTATTTACCACCCGGAACGAATCAGCTGGACCTGCCAAGCACCCAAACTTTAAAACTACACAACAATTCTGAACTAATTTATTATGTAAATATGACTTATATAAAGAAATGTATGTATTTCCACATTGTCTGTCTCATAATGTAACCTTTACAGGTCATCATTTTGTAAAATTAAACAAAGGCACTACTTTACTGCATGTAACTGGTCTGAACCAAGCCACAGCCTCACAATTTCCTAAGGTTTTTAGGGATGTTTTATTCTATCTGTTAATATCTGTTTCTCTTTGTTTCTAAGAATAAAAGTTTTCAAAATAACAAAGTCTATTCAAAATTCTGATACTCAAAGCTGGTTTGATCTAGTTTATAAACAAATAGCTATTTCAATATATATATATATATATATATATATATATATATATATATATATATATATATATATACATATATATATATATATGTATATATATGTGTGTGTGTGTGTATATATATGTGTGTGTGTGTGTATATATATATGTGTGTGTGTGTGTATATATATATATATATATATATATATATATATATATATATATATATATATATATAATATCTCTACTAAATACATATCATAAATGAAAAAAGCAGAAAGCATTTTTATATTTGCACCTTCTGTCCAGCCAGGCAAGACCGCTTTATTTACAGTTAATAGAACATTTCATATATCGAAGCAATTCAATGTGCTTTTCAGGTGCAAGAGAACAGCGAAAACATAAAACATTCATCAAACACAAGTCAATGCAACATAAAAACAGATTTTAAAATCAAATCTAAAATACACAAACAAAATTTGATGCATTAAATAACAAAAGGGCAAAGTTGAATATTGAACAGTTAGAGTGCAAAAGGTGCATCATGAGAAACAATCACTGAAAGGCTGATGAATGCATAAAATGGTTCAATTTTGAAAAGTTACCAGATTTCGGAAAGATTTGAGGTCAGGAGGAAACCGATTCCGTCTGTGTGTAGGATAGTAGCTAAAAGCAGCTTCACCCTGTTTGGTTCTGACCCGAGGTACTACCAGTTGACTGTTTCCTAAGGATCTCAGAGCCCTGCTGGGTGTATATATACAGGAAGGAGATCCAACATGTATTTTGGCCCCAAGCCACTGAGTGATTTATTAAATAGTAGAAGTACTTTGAAATCAATCCTGTTGTCTAACACCTGTCTCATACCACACAAATTAAAACTCTTACCTTAGTGACTAGAAAAAAGAAAATAAGGGGATGCAGTTTCCTTTGAAATTCAAGTAAAAGACTCACAGGAACTGATACTGTGTCTCCGTCTCTGAGCATGTTTCTCAGATCCCAAGGATCAGTTGCATAACTCAGAGGAATCTTGCGACTCCTCATTGTGAACATCAACAGATGCTGAAACGCTAGATGTCCCATGACCCGCTCTCAGATTGATATCTTCCTCCCTCTAAGTCTTACGAATGCTTCTGTCCTTCCATTTAGATGCTAATTCTTTTCTGTTTACCTTTTCAGGTTCAGGGCTACTGAGTTCAGTTATTCCTTAAAGAGCGTTTGCATATTTTTGCCCATTTAAGTTTTTCCAAGAAGGCATTTGCTACATGGAGAAGAGAGACTAAACGAACTGAATTTCAAATTTTCTTTCCGAACTAAAGCTTGAATGGAGTCATTTGATTTTTTTTTTACAAATACAACTAGAAATGAGGCTGAACTCATCTTAAAGATCATTTTTAAGAGTTTGAAGTGTAGAAACTTTAGCTGAAAACCAGTAGGTAGACTGGCCAGTTAGAATGCACGTTTCACACGCTGAAGAAAGGATGACAAGACAAAAGTGATATCTAATAGCACAAGAGTGAGAAACCTGATATTATTCAGCACCGCCAAACCAGAGGGTTTCACCTCCTCTTTGGAACACTAGTGACTGTGTAGGCCCTGTTTTATCTGAGCCACATCTTTACTGTTTAAGGGATCCATACACGGCTGCTTTCTTAGTTTAGCATCTGGAAAGTTTTTCAGGTGTATTAGAAAGTTTAGAGAATTTTTACCAGGGGAAAAATAAATACATCAGAAAATCTTAGATGCTCATGTAGCGTGTTTTCCCCAAGATGTTTTCCGGCAACTTTGGCTTTTATAATGACATTTTGAAAGAAATTGTATCAATTCAATTTAATTTAATCAAAAATCAGTCAAAAGAGGCGCCTTTCATAGTTGAAGTTTACAGAAGCACATCAGTGCCACTGCAAAGACTAAACTAAGGAAACGAACACCGCTCTTAAACCTGACTGTATTTGTTCTGTTTTCTCTTTTTACAATGTAAATTTACTATGAAACCATTACAAAACAGTCTAATGACTTTATCGTGTTGGAAGGAAGGTTATATTGACACAGATTTCCTTCTCAGCTGGCTAGGTGGAGGTCAGGTTTTCTCCAAATGGCCAAAGAGGTATGGAGTCATTGTTAACAATGTTTCAGTTTGTGTGGTTGCTGAATCTTCACCAGAAAAATTTCCAGTGTTAACATTTGTAATGGAAGAATAGTTGTTATCATGGTAACAACTAATGGGGATCCTGACTAAATCAATAAAATAAATGTGACACCGGCCGGCAAAATGCAGCAGCATTTTGTTAAGATCCTGAGTAAACAGGAGTGGCCCAGAAGTTATATCTTCTGCTCCTGAGGAACCACAGCATGCATTTGTTTTACTCTAATATCAGGTAAAGAAGGCTAGAGGCTAACATTGGGCTAACAATGCTAATAGTGAGTTAGAAACAGTCGGCTCTAAAAATGTCTTAAGCACAATAATAGTCTAAAACATGTTACCCTAAATTCCTAAAACCTACAAAGATAGCTTATTAATACTGTTTTCTGGCAAAACTGAAACTTTATACTGCACAATTATACTGGCATAAGAATGAGATAATAAAAAATGACACAAACAATTAGGTTTCAGGGACATTGAGAAACCGTGCAATACTGTAACATTTCAACTTTTTCTTTTGAGTGAACTTAATATACCATGGAGCTATTTTCTCTTTTTAAAAACAAACGTGGGTTCAACAGCCAAAGCCGAGAGGTCCAGACTTCCCTCTCCCAAGCCACGTGGGCCAGCTTCTCTGGGGGAGTCCCAAGGCATTCCCATAATCCCTCTAGCATGTCCTGGGCCTTCCTTTGGGTCTTCTCCCAGTTGGATGTGCCTGGAAAACCTCACCAGGAAGGCATTCATGAGGCATCCAAACCAGATGCCTGACCCACATCAACTGGCTCATCTTGATGTGGAGGAGCAGCGGCTCTACTCTGAGCCCCTCCCAGATGACCGAGCTTCTAACCCTATCTCTAAGGGAGAGCCCAGACACTCTGCGGAGAAAACTAATTTCTGCTGCTTGTGGCCACAATCTCATCCTTTCAGTCACGACCCAAAGTTCGCGGCCATAGTTGAGGGCTGGAACGAAGATTGACCGGTAAATTGAGAACTTTGCCAATCAGGCTCAGCTCTCTCTTCACAGATTGACACAGCATCAATCTGCCTATCGATCTTGCGCTCCATCTTTCCTACCTCATGCCTGACCTGGAGAAGACATTCTACCATTTTCCGCCTCCTCAAGACCAAGATATTGGATTTAGAGGAGGTGATTCTTATCCCAGCTGCTTCCCACTCTGTTGCAAACTGCTCCAGTGACAGCCGGAGATCACGTACTGATGAAGCCAACAGGACTTCATCATCTGCAAAAAGGAGAGACCTGATCCTCAGGCCACCAAAACAGATAAAACCTTGGCTGAGCCTAGAAATGTCCTGTCCATAAAAGTTATGAACAGAATTGGTGACAAAGGGCAGCCTTGGCGGAGTCCAAATCTCACTGAGAATAAAGCTCGACTCACTGCCGGTAATGGGACCAATCTCTGACATCGGTCATACAAGGACCTAACAGCCCATATCGGTTTGGTGAACTCCTATGTTCCCTATAAGACCCTCTTAAAGATAGTTTAGAAAGAAAGAAAATCAAAGAAAGAAAGAAAGAAAGAGAAAGAAAGAAAGGAAGAAAGGAAGAAAGAAATGAAGAAATGAAGAAATGAAGAAAGGAGGAAAGAAGGAAAGAAAGAAAGAAAAACAATCTATTATATAACGCTTCTCAAGACAAAAATCACGAGGTGCTCAAAGAGCACTACCCAGCCTGAAACGGCGCTGTACAGCGTGGGTTAAGTCAGCTCATCTGAGTGTAGTTTTGTTTCCATGCCAGCTCCGTGACAGAAAAGCCATTTTTTAAAAACAGTGCAGTCAATTTGGGGGGATTTTTCCCCATGACAAAATAGCATGAGGTCATCAGTAAGGTAACCTTTATGCTCCACGGAAACACAACTCAGCACACAAATGGTGGTGTTGCTGGACATTTTCCTCAGTTTTATGGCTTTTTGTCAGACCCTGAACCAGGAGATGGCTGCGGGCAGTGAAGCGAAAGGCAAAAACTCCAGAGCAACTAGTGACTCTGCCCCCTAGCCAATCAGCGGCCAGAGTCACGATGCTGGCCCGACTCAGCCTCGCACCTGAATAAATACTGAACCGTGCCCTTGGAAACTGTGATCGGACTGAGCTGCACTGGTCCGAGTAACTCTGAGTAGTGCTCCCAGAAACCTAGCATAAGGGTATAGAGCTGGTCCAGTTTTCCAAGTACATACTTGAGAAAGTTATTGGCTGAGATCAGCTGTGTTGGTGGGTTGAACAATTTCCACGTCTAGTGGTTCGTTTTCTACATGTGACGTTTTCCTTGCTTGATTGAAACATTGCTAAACTCACACTATGTATACCTTAAGAAAATAATAATAAGTTTAATTATTTCATAATTGTAATCAGGACATAACAGTGGGTCAAAACACAGAACTTATTTTTCAGATTTATTGTTTTGTTTTAAGATTTTAAAGTTCATTTATTGTATATCTTGTCCTCCTCTGTTTGTTCATGTTTATTATCTTCACAAACATCAGATTCATTGTCATTTAAAAAGTCACAACTGTATTAGGTGTTCATTAGTATCTAGAAGCTTTCTTTAACCAGTTTGTATAATAGGTGACTAACACTAGAGTTCAATAGGAGGCTGGTGATTTAAAAGTCAATGTCTAAACCGCACAGAGGGCTTTTGTAAAAAGCCTTACAATAGAGCTCTCAAAGAAGTCTTGTAAGGAGGGATCATTTGAGACAGGAGAATGGTTGAAAGCCATTTTCCTGAACCTGTAATCGTATAAAATCCCTCCTTGAGTTCTTTGGGGGTGTATTTCTGAGTCTGGTGCCAGAAGACTGCTGAGGAGAAATGAGGATCCTCTGACATCCAGCAACTTGAAGGTCTTCTTCCCACGAGGTGAGTTACATTTCTCAATTTTGTGTAATCCTGAAGTATTTTGTGATTTCTAAATTTCTCTGCAGTATCTCATTATGGCTTCCTTTGGTGCTCTTTTATTGATGTTTCCTGCTGCACTGGCATGCGCTCCACAAAAAGCAGGTAACTGTTCTGTGGAGCAGATTCTTGGCTATATGTCCTTAACAGAAGATCGGCAAATCCCATATTTTTTATTCATTTATTTACACACTGCTTTATTATAATCCTCAGTCAAAAATGCACTTTTTCTAAATATCAACCAAAATATAATAGTCGCATTTATTTGTGCATTTTAATTTCAGATTACGTCGTGGTCTCATGTTTTCCTAACGCCATCATTGCCAACGTCCCAGAGTGTCCTTATGGCTGGGAGATAGAGCAGCTGTCTCTGGGTGGAGTGTGTTACACTGGAATACATAGTCCAGGTTATTATCGCTTCATTATCCCAGACCTGACCCCCAGAAATCACTCGTACTGTGGTACGCAATCTGAGGTAAGACACTGTCAGAAAGAAACCAAGCAGAAAAACCTTCCTTTTTACATGTTTATGTTTATGTATTTAGCAGACGCTTTTGTCCAAAGCAACTTACAAGTGATAATCGGCATGTTGCCCTTGAGGCTAACAACAACGATAACAACAACTTGACATCAATCATGGAGAGGAGGGAACAAGGAGTGGACAGTAGAGAGGGGGGGGGACGGGTGCAGGAAGGGTGCTAGTTAAGAAGATGCTCTCTGAAGAGCAGGGTCTTCAGGAGTTTCTTGAAAATTGAAAAGGAAGCCCCTGTTCTGGTAGTGCTTGGAAGGTCATTCCACATTTATGGAACGATGCATGAGAAGAGTCTGGATTGTCCTGAGCGTGGTGTAGGCACTGCTAGCCGACGATCCTGTGATGACTGGAGCGGCCGGGCCGAGACGTAAGCCTTTGCAAGAGGATTCAGGTAGATGGGAGCCGTACATTTATCTGTGTGAAACAGGGATGATTTAAAACCTGTTCATACAACAGTTCATGCTGGAATAAACGCTGCTTTAGAAATTGTTCAACTCATCAACAGTGCAACCAACAGGTCAGGGGCATATCGTGAGCATGGTTCAGCCTCAGATGTATGATGCCTTATCTACCGCAGAATAAGAAAAATGTGTCGGGTACCAGACCATGTTTGGGCAAGACAAGGCAGCTTTATTTATATAGAACATTTCATACACAGAGGCAGTTCTATGTGCTTTCCATTAGCAAGAATAGCAACGTGACAGAAAATACAATTTAAAAAAAGAAAGTGAAAGGGTGAGCAAATACAATGCAGAAGGTGCAGCATAAGAACATTCATTCAAAGGTTCATGAAAACATGAAGGTTTTCAATTTAGATTTAAACGTTACTCAAGTTGGGACACATTTGAGGTCATGAAGAAGCTGATTCCATCTGTGAAAAGCATAGTCGCTAAAAGCAGCTTCACCCTCTTTGGTTGTGACCCGAGGTTCTACCAGCTGACTGTTTCCTAAGGATCTTGGAGCCCTGCTGGGCGTATGTACAGGAAGGAGATCCAACATGTATTCTGGCCCCATACCATTGAGTGGTTTATAAACCAGCAGAAGTACTTTGACATTTATTCTGTAGTTTACTGGTAACCAGTGTTGAGATTTAAGAACATGAGTGATGTGTTCGGTTCTCTTGGTTTTTGTTAAGACTCCAGCAGCAGCATTCTGAATCAGATTCAGTTGTTTTTCAGCTTTTTTGGAAAGACCATTTAAAATACCATTGCAATTGTCTAGCCTGCTGTAGATGAATGCATGAATGAGTCTCTCTACGTCTGGTCTGGATATGAGACCCCTGAGATGTGCTATTTGATGAAGATAAATCTTGGTGTCAAATAAGCTCTGAGAGTACATTTTAAAAATGTAATTAGGTAGTTTGAACTTGAAGCGTTTGGCCACACTGTTTCCTAATCCAGTCATTGATTGTGTGCATTAGCTTTAAGGGTCTTTATTATTGTAAAAAACTTTCAACAGAAAGCATTAGCCGCTGAAAGGAAATGGACAGGGAAATGCTCTGGTCAGAAAAGGCCACACAGCTCTGTCCATTATAAAATTTGGATTCATGGAATCACCCACCCTGGCTTGTGATTGCAGAAGGCTGGTGTTGATTTTGCAGCCAGGAGAGAGCAGAACGTGTCTCGGCTAGTAGAAACTAGCGGTTACCATTAGCGATTACAAAAAAGCAGAACTTTTTATTTGTGGACATACAACATCAGCATTGATTTTTTTTTACCCACAAAAAATAAAATTAAAAAAAGCAAATGTAGGAGGTGGAAGACTTGCATTGCTGTTAGCCAATCAGAGGTAAGATGTTAGCATTTCGTCCTCTTTCAACAAACTCCTGCTTCCTAAAATGGGAGCACCATAGCTTTCTCCATGGAAAATGACTCACAAGGCATTCATTCATACTAGAGACCACAGTAGATATATTGGAATAATGAGTTAAAGAGACCTTTAAGTTAGATTTACGGATGAATATAATAATGAAGAAAATGTGAAAGTGGTTTTCACCATTTCTGACATTGTTTTGTGCAGTATATGCCAGGCAAAGACCCCAAGTACATCTTCTATAACTCCATCGTGTCCAACGATACCTCACTGACAGTCAGAAACCAGCCGGTCAACTACACCTTCAGCTGCATGTACCGAGCAGCCTACCTGGTAAATAACGCTGTCTTCAGCCAGAGGTAAGCACCCGTTCAGGACAGGAGCCAACCACAACTACTGAGTGGATCATTTGTGCATGCTGACACAAAGACTTGCAGCGTTTTTACTAAACCCTCTGCTTTTTCTAGAGTCGCTACAGTTTATGTCAACAATGGGAGTTTAGGCACTTTTAGATCTCAGTTATCTATGAACGTGTTCACGGTGAGTTGCTGCTCATAGTTTCACATTCTCCAGTGGAAGAGACTTCTGTATTGCTGTGGTTGTCACAATAATTCTTTATCATTAGTTAATTGTGATTAACTGATAAATAAATCACAGGAACTCGTATGTTTGCCAGAACTCCAAGTTCCTGTACGCTAAAGATGCTCCATATGTGATCGACACATCTGAGATTGGATCTGAAGTTTTTATTGGCATTGAGGCAAAAGGTCTAAGCAATAGGTAAAATTAAAAGTTTAAACCTGCTTTTGAAGTTTTCAGAAGTTTATACGCAGATTTACAACTGTTTTTTTTAACCTGTCAGGTTTAAAGTTGTGATAAACAACTGCTGGGCCACTCCAACTCCATATTCAACAGACAAGAAGAGGTGGAGTCTCATCATCAACAGGTGATATAATGACAGCTTCCATTAAGACATTATCTGTTAAAGGTCAACTTCACTGTATAAACATTCTTTAATTATTACCTGTGATTATAATCGGTCAGTCTGAGTTTGTCATGCAGGCTGAACATGAAGATAGTCTTCTACACCCATTTCCTACACCCATTTCCTGCATTAGCTTATGTAAAAATCTAGGATTTGAAAATCCTGACACTTAACATGCATGGACTCACCCATCTTGACTCACGACGGGGAATGTTGTTATTGGTTTAGTGTCCAGGAAACAGCAGATGACGTCTCAGCTAGGCTAGTAGACACTAACTGTTTGCATGCAACTCCACCACATGGCAGAACTCCTCTAGGCTTGTGGAGATCTTGCAAAGCAAACAGAGTCAGAGGAAGTCACATTGCTGTCAGCCAATGAGAGGTGAGATGTCCAAATATCAGGAAATAAGACTTCAAATCCTTTCATGCTCTGCCACTCTCTCCTCCAGATGACTTCAATGGCCCAATCCCAATCCTCGCACTTTCACGCTTGCGCCCTTCAGTTGCGCAATCCCGGCCAGGGGTGTGAGAGCGTAGGTGGCCCCAATTCTCAAGTGCGGAAGCTGACCACACCCCTTATGCATCCTTGATCTGCTCTTCGCCCAAGTCTGCACCAGTGTGGACTTAGGCGAAGGGTATTACCCACAATCCATTGTTGCTGGATCGAAGGCTCAAATGCCTTTTCTGAAAATATGTATTTTCTAATGAAAGTAGTTCATTTTAGGACAATTAATTGATACTCTGAGTGTTATAGACAAAAATTTAATGTGGACGGTAATGAATATGAATTTTGTCAAATTATTGTTTGTTTTGTTGTTTGAAAGTTGTTAATAAAGATTGTTTTGAAAAAATTTCACAACGACCAGCATCCCGGCTTGCGTTGCGGTTGATGACGCAATGCTCGGTGTCCCAATTCAGCAATGATTTACACACGTGTGTACCACGCACTCGAAGCCTTACTGCGCAATTCCTCCAAGTGCACTTCACAGACCGTGGGGCACAGTATTGGGATTGGGCCGATGACCTTCGTACAGACGCATCAGAACTTTTTTCCCCCAGAGGACGTCTTACTCATTCCCACTAGAAATCACTGCAAATGCATTAAAACTATGAATAAAAGTTTATGTTTAAATCAAACAAATAACAAATAATTGTCTTTCCAGAGAAGAAGAAAAGAAAACAACTATCTTTTCTATAGCGCCTCTCAAGATAAAAATCAGGAGACGCTTCACAAAAAAAATAATTTAAATATAAAAAATATTTAAAAAATTATTAAAATATGTTTAAAATGAGAAAAAATAAAACAGTTTGATTTAAAAATATTAGGAAAGGGAGAGAGACAATTAATAGTGAAGAGAGAAACCAGTGAATCCCAGGAAAGGCGGAATAGGTAGAAAGACCAGAATAAGGAGAGGGTGGTGATGAAGGTCACACCAAAGCCAGCCTGAACAGGTGAGTTTTCAGCTGCTTTTTAAAGGAGACCACTGAGTCCACTGATCTCAGGCTCAGGGGGAGAGTTCCAGAGTCTGGGGGCCACAGCAGCAAATGATCTGTCACCCTTGGTCTTTAGCCTGGTGCGCTGCAAGAAAATGTAGTTTTATCTTTGTACTTTTTTTTTTCAGTAAGCAAATTGCTCAATGGTCTAGCAGTATTTAGTTGATAAGTAATTTTAACAAAGATGCATGAAATACATGAATGCTTTTATAAAAAAAACTTGAAAAATCAGCTGCAGACCACAAAGACCTCCAGGCTATAATAAAGAAAAGAGTTGATTGTTTTTACCTCTTTTTTTATTATGTTTGATCAGTCCAGATCTCTCCAGCTATATATATTATACTGAAACCTGTTTACACACATCCCACCTCCAACTAAACACCTCTCACTGGGGTGTGCTAACAATGTAACAGCTGTAAAACATCTTTATGGGGGAGCTAAACTACTCTGTTTACTGCAAAGTGTCTTAAGAACTTGGGGGGATATACATTAAAACAAAATGTCTCTCTCAAGCTGCATTTTTGGATTAGTATGTTTAATTATCCATTTTTCCATCAGCTTAAACATCTGTGCTACACCAGATGTGCGGAGTGAGGGGACAAACACTTTGAGGAGTGAAAGGGGGGCTTTGTTCACCTGTCCAAGATTTTGTTTATCCTAAAAATGTTCATTTCCCCTCCAATAGCTGCTCTGCTGACAACACTGTGAGCATTTATGACAATGCCAAAGACAGCCGATCCACGTTCAAGTTCAACTCTTTTCGGTTCCAGCGGCTAGAGAAGGTGTCCACTGTGTGGCTTCACTGTGAGGTCCAGATCTGTGACGGGGAGAGGCTCTTCTGTCAGCCTGTGCGTCATATCTTTCTTTCTTCTTTCAATGAAGCAGCATTTTTCAAAACTTTTTCTAAAAAGTGTACTTTTTATTACAACCCCCTACAAACATTCTTTTTTTCTTTTTCAGCATTCACATTGAACATAATACTGCTTTGTATCTGTCAAGAGAGAGCTTAACTTCTGTGTTGTTACATTTTTTACCTTGAAGAGTCCCTGTTCTGTGCGATCTCTGTCAACAGAGGTGGACCCAAATGGTGGGATCCTCACAGCGGAGTTTCAGATTAAAGGTAGTGTCCAGACACCAGACAACACCAGAGTCTTCAAAAACGGACCTGGGAACATTATTTCAGTCATTTCTCCCTTTAATAAGACGAGTTGTAATTTGCAGGAGGGTTCAGGGGAGTATGTCACATTTTTGGGATTGCTACTCACATGTGTGACATTTACAACCTTTTGGAAGTGACTAATCAGGCTTTCCAATAATTAAGATACAGTATATGTTGGTACTTTTATAAGAGAAATTATCGACTGAAGTAACTTTTCCTAACTTTTTTTAGTATATTATATTTTAAATCAGATACATTTTCAAAAGTGTTTTTGCTGTTGATACATTCATGTGTTGTTTATGACTGATCTCCTTATAGGTGACATCTCTTCCAATAATGGACATATTACAGGTAAACCATTCTGAATATATTGTTTGAATTATTTACATCAAAAGTCATTGATTTGAAGTAATTATTCTTCATAAATGAATATTCCGAAGTAGAATATAATTAATGTGTACACAATATTCAATATTCTAGACTTAAAGTGTCACACTCCAATCAGCTAATTCTTCCAGAACACCTGCAAAGAGTTCTTGAACCTTTAGATGGTCTCTCATTCTAAGTTGAATTACTGAAACAAATTAATGTTTGCACCATATTCTAATTTTAACCTGTACAATGACTTATTTTCATGAAATCTATTCTTGTCATGCCCGCATGTCTAGCTGCACAACCCTGTTTCACCTGATTCCTTATAATTTTTCTAATTTCTGATATTTGAATTAGATCTAATTAATTTCCATTCTTGACTCAGGAACCTCACTGTTCATCCTGCTTCTGGTTCTGGTGAACCTGTGCTGTGGTTTACTAAATGGATCAAATGTGCAGTTAGACATTGGTGTTATTACCTAAACACACGAACAGAGGGAAGGGTCACCCAAGACTCAGGGAGCGAATGAAAACATCCCTCCTTCTCTCGTATTGTCACAGTTTGTGTTTAGCACATTTCTTAATGCTTCTGTAATCTTCTGTTGTGATACATAAATGTACTTCTTCTTCAATAAAGAAAACTTTGAAGGTATTTTTTTTCAATAGACTTTATTTGGTGGATTTTTACATGGTTAATAAATAATATTAAATCTGAGTCAACATTACAGAAATACAGACAGCATAAATCAAACAATAAAGATTACAAATTTCAACAATTAATACAACAAAAACATATTTTATTCAAATATCTTACATAAGGATAAGACACAAACACACACACACACACACACACACACACACACACACACACACACACACACACACACACACACTTTGTAGTGGTCAAAACTAAACTGTTTCATTACAGACATACTGTACATTGTTGCCCGTGGTATTTTTTTGTCACAGATCTCATCTAAGAGGCGACTGAAAACATGTTGTTTTGTTTGAAGAGGTGATTCAAGGTTATGAATGAGTAAAACTGCTGAAAACTGTAAGCATACAAAAATAAAATTGATTATTATGCCAATAATAATAATAATACAACAACAATAACAACAACAACAACAATAATAATAACAATAACAACAACAACAACAACAACAACAACAACAACAACAACAACAACAACAACAACAACAACAACAACAACAACAATAATAATAATAATAATAATAATAATAATAATAATAATAATAATGGAGCAATAAAAATAATGGTAATATTAATGGTGCACATTTATGTTTTTTTCTCAATTCACTGTGTCAACATATGTATTTCTTCTTTTTGCTTTATTTATTTAGAAATTTATAAAAAAATTATAATACAGTTTTAAATTTTTTTATTTTTTAGATTATTTCTCTTTTCTGTTTTCATTTCCTAAAACTATATCACCTGAATTCTAATTGTTTTTTAATTATTATAAATATAATCATTTATTTATTTGCTACTATTTCATTTTTGCAGGTTCTCTCTTTTTATTTTAATCTCTTGTCATATTGATGAATTTTTATTTTAATTATTTCTGTATTCATTCCCGATTGTAGCAATGTAGAGTTTTCCACAGATCTCTGGGTTTCTCATAAAGACGTGTTTTTGTTTCCCAGTGAGTTAAAAGAAATTTTAAAGCCTTTGTGATTTCAACCATAATCAAGAAAAAATTTATATTCTTAATTGTTGTAATCACTTATCCTTTGCTTTTATTGTCAAAAGAATGCTAGTAAAAATGTTTAAACGTTTTTAATAACTGAATATTTTCTCTGGCTCTACTGCTTGTACACATCTGTTGGGTCATTAAGCCACTTCACTACAGAAAACTAAACCCCTCACTTCAGACATTATGACAATAAGAACCTACACTACTAATGGAAAAAAATTACTTTTTGCAATTTCTGGATAAAATTAGTGTCATATTAAAAAAATAGCCTTTAAATCATAATGTTCACTGGGAAATAGTCTAAATCACAAACAGTAAAGGAATTTTTTGTTTCATTACCCCTTAAATTACCTTTTAATTTTCTAACATTTCTGGTGTTTGAGCACAAAAAAGCACTTAGGACATATAAGGGTTAAACAACAGTCAACACACAGTGTGACAGATTTTTGCTCCTCTGTTAGCTCCTCCTAAAGCCAGCATCTTGTGTCTTTACCCTGCCTGTATGTAAGAACAGATTTGATTAGTGGAGTTTTCCATTGAATTAAGGATGTTTTCATTAAAGATGTTCCTCCTGTTTTATACAACAGCCTGTTTTGTTTAAACATTCACTGTAGTCATCGTTGATCTTGGCATGAAGACCTGAGACCTGCTTGTGTCCGTAGCTCTGATCAGCGCTAGTTTCTATAGCAGAGACAGAACAAAAACATGATAAACGCCCAGTTTGCACACATAATTCAACAGTGTCAAACCAGTCAGTGTAATATCTCTTTAGGCAGTTCTGTTTAATGTAATTTTGTGTCTTAGAAAGAAATTTTTTTAGACATGCCAAGATAAATGGACAATTAATACAAAATGTTATCAGCACAGGCTGTTTGAAAATTTCTGTCATTTCATTTACAGCGTTTATTGCAGTCTGTTTTATATTTATTAAAGAAAGAATGAAAACTTTAACATTTCACTTTATCAGGGCCAATGCAGTGAATTGCTTTCCTCTGCACATACCTCTGTCTGTACTTTAAAACAGTCAGATTTTGGTGAGTTGTGGACAACAGGAGCAGGACAAAATCCCTTTTTGTCCAACAGCCAGTATGTCTTCTGCAACCCTTTACCCTGTTTATTAGACAGACCACGTTCTGGTCACAACATGTCTAAAACAAAGGGGTTCATACAATAAAAATGGATAATAACTATATTTTTAATAGAAAATCAAATTACCTTCATTTCAATTTCACCTCTTTCCTCCAGCTCAAACGATCCTTCCTGGACAAGAATATCAGCCGTGGACTGGGATATGTGAATCTTCAGGGCTGCATGTCACACACAAGCTTTCATAACCTTTTTATGTATATGTGTGGGTTTATTGAACAAGGACAGCAAAAAGACAATGCTACATGGAAGGGCAATGCAAATGTTTTGTACTGAGGTTTTCTAGCCAGAGGCTAATTTCACATCAAATAACAGCATTCTTAACTACCCCCCCCCCCCCCCACACACACACACACACACACCCACACCCACACACGCACACACACGTAGAAACATTGTTTCTGATTTTCCATCCCATAACTGTTAAACAATTTGACTTAAATCTAGTTTTTTGTATGATTTGGATTTGTGTGTTTATCTGGACCAGAGTGGTATCTGACACTCCTACAGTCAAAAGCTGTGCTTTAGACTTCCAACCTCATGTCTTTAGTGCGCTCTAGTGGAACACTCTGATATCGACTGACCAGGAAGTACTTTTCTGCCCTGATAGTCTGTTAACTTCCTCTTCTGCAGAAGCCCTTTACTTGTAATTACAATCCTCCAAAGCGTGTTACCAGAGATTAGAGTGGAAAAAAAGACTGATCCCTGTATGTATCAGCTCACTTGTCCTTCATTAGAGGGAAACATAAAACCATAATACTAAGCATTTACTCACGTAAGCTGTTACTTTCCATGCGAGAGGCTGTGTTGACTGTGTCACCAAAGAGGCAGTAGCGGGGCATGGTGGTTCCCACCACTCCAGCAACCACTGGACCTACAAGAAACATAGCAGGACTATTTAAGAAAAAGGGCGCTCCCCCAGCCCTCATGGATCTGTGAGGGACAGTGGTAATCACATAGAAACACATGGATCAGCCACCACAGAGTCCAGACCTGAGCTTAGAACCTTTGGAATGTGTTGGAGAAGGCTTGAACAATGGTCTATACACTGGTGAAAAATTAGAGCAACTAAGTGGCTAACTCAATGATTTGTTGTTGCTTTGGTACAATCCCTTACCTGAGTGGATGCCGATGCGAATTGCGAGGCTCTCCTTCGGCATGTGAGGGATTTTGAATAATTTAATAGCACCAAGGAAATGTAGAGCCATGATAGATATCTCTAAAGCATGCTGGTTTCCATTGCTGATAGGCAGGCCACTTGCCACCATGTAGGCATCACCAATAGTTTCCACCTTATGGAAACACAGATGGCAGTTTTTTTAATAGCTGTGGGAAGATTTGATCTAAAAATACTTTGCAGCACAGTTTATTCAGGAGAGATTTTAGGCGTTTGCAGACTTATTTGGTCGAAAGTTCAATGTTAGCAGGAAATCAGGAGCTTTTGTGTTGCTCTGATTGTTTTGATGTCTTCGGTCATTCTCCCGTATCCACTCTTACTTTGTAGACGTCGTACATCTTTATGATGTCGTCAAACAGGCTGTAGAGGTCATTGAGGAATGTAACCACCTCCATTGCAGAGCTGACGGAGCACATGGAGGTGAAGCCCACAATGTCTGAGAAGAAGATCGTCACCATTTCATAACTTTGTGGCTCTACTGACTTTCCCGACATCAGCTGATCTGCGATGTACCTTAAGTGAAGGAAACAACATAGGCATGTTATGGTTGAGTTAATAATTTTAAAGTGCTGTGTACGTGTCCTGAGCTTGTGTTACTTTGGTAACATGCTGGAGAGCAGCTTGTCTGCTCGGGCTTTCTCCACCGTGAGCTGATTGGTCCTTTCGTCCACAACTTCTTCAAGGTGATTTGCATACTTCTCCAACTTGTCCACCATATTATCCAGGATATTCACATGGCTATGACATATTAGGTTGTGATGACATGATTTAGTTCATTTGTTCACAAGCAGGAAATCTCAAAACACATTTTAATAAAACCCAGTTATGAATTTGCCACTTGCCGAAGAGTTAGTCAAATACTTGAAATTTCAACTTTAAAACAACATTTTGAATATATTTGTCTAAGTAACTAAAGCCATGATCTCAAGGGGCTATGAGACTGTGTAGTCACGAGAGTTTCCAACATGTCTCGAAGCATTTGGGAGGGTTCTCAATTTCCTTGCATGAATTGGAGAATTTCTTGATGCTGGAACGTTTATGTTTGTGTCTGGAATCCTTTGCTTCTTGGTTCTTGGGATTCTAAAATCTCAACAAACATGACAGCATGTGACCAGTTGTGAAGAAACTGAGACATAATTAACTAATTTCTGACATAAAGGAGCAATTGGAACAATAAAATGTTTGAAAATTGAAATATACCATTGTAGATGGTAAAAAAACAAACAAAAAAAACAAGATAAATCTGAACTGTTTTCTTAACATTTTCGTTGCAAAATAAATAGCAATACATGAATATAATAAAAGAATTTGCACCATCCACGTGCAGTACAAAGACTCTCCACAAGAGGACTCCACCTCCTGCTCGCCGTATGGTTAGTTCTCGTTTTCTTAATGAGAGCACAGCTAGCAATTTTTCTGCTGCTTTTGATCAACCCTGTTCTTCTGATAATGACCCAGCTTCCTTACCTTCTCAGTTTAACGAGCACTGCCTCTCCATTCTGGACAACATCTGTCCTGTCAGAACCAGATCAGTTCCTGCAGTGAACCCTACTCCCTGGTTTAATGACAGCCTTCGCAGCCTAAAGCACCAATGCAGAAAAATTGAGCGCTTGTGGAAGAAAACCCGTCTCCACGTCCATCTGCTGCACCTAAAGGATCTTCTGACATCCTTTAACTCTGTAGTCAGAGACGCTAGGGTTTCCTATTTTTCCAACCTGGTGTCCCAGAGCAAAGGGAACCCCAAGGTGCTGTTTAACACCATCAGCAGCATCGTCTCTCCTGCCTCTCCTACAGCATCCATCCACTCTGTTACAGACTGAGAACTTTCTGTCTTTCTTTGTGGACAATGTCAATAAGGTCAGGTCTAGCATCTCTCCTTCAGCTTATCGCTGCCTCTCCCGACTCCAACCAGGCCCATCATCCTAGATAGCTTGGCTCCTGTTTCTTTGCCTGAGTTAACCAAACTAGTTAACTCTATGAAGACCTGTGCATGCCCCCTCGACATCTTACCCTCATCTTTGTTTAAAAGTGCTTTTCTGTCCATCGGTCCCAGCGTGCTCTCCATTATTAATGCTTCTCTGGTTTCTGGTCAGGTCCCTGCTTACTTTAAGAAAACCGAGTCTTGACCCCTCTCTCCATAGCAGCTTCAGACCCATCTCTAAACTTCCGTCCATCTCCAAGATCTTGGAAAAGGTTGTGGCTAAACAACTCACAGCTGCTCTTGATGAACATAACATCTATGATAGCTTCCAGTCAGGTTTTCGTAGAGCTCATTCTACTGAAACAGCTCTTCTTAGGATCTCTAATGACCTTCTGACTCACAGTGATGCAGGGGACTGTTCTGTTCTGGTCCTGCTGGACCTGACTGCAGCCTTTGACACTGTTGACCATCACCTGCTACTGGAGAGACTGATAGACTGGGTAGGCCTATTAGGAACTGCTCTGGAGTGGTTCTCCTCTTATCTTTCTGAGCGCTCCTTTTCTGTGGCCATCTCCAAGTTTAGGTCCTCCACCACCTCCCTTACCCATGGTGTCCCACAAGGTTCTGTGCTGGGGCCTCTGCTCTTCCTCCTCTCTCTGCTTCCTCTTCAGCACATCCTGAGCTCCTTCAAAGGAATCTCATACCATCTTTATGCAGATGACATCCAACTGTACATCTCCTTTAAGCCCCATGACATGTCTAAGCTGCAGCTGTTACACACCTGCTTAGACTCTATCAAAACCTGGATGGCTGGGAGTTTTCTTCAGCTGAATGAAGATAAGACTGAGATCCTCATCTGTGCCCCAGACAAGCTGGTTCCCAAAGTCAGAGACTCTCTTGGTCAGCTTGCTTCTCACACCAATCCTTCTGGCTGGAATCTTGGCGTGACCTTTGACCCAGCTTTTACCCTGGATTCTCATGTCAGTTCTCTTGTTCGCTCTTCCTTCTTCCATCTCAGGAACATTGCTAAGCTGAGTCCCATTCTGTCCCGCTCTGAACTTGAGACAGTTATCCACTCCTTCATCTCCTCACGCTTAGACTACTGTAACTCTCTTTTCACGTGTCTGAGCAAAACCTCCCTGAACCGTCTACAGGTGGTTCAGAATGCCTGTGCTCGGCTTCTGACCAAGTCCTCCAAACACACCCACATCACCCCGCTTCTCCTCCAGCTTCACTGGCTGCCAGTCAACTTCAGAGTTCTTTTCAAGATTCTGGTTCTGGTCTATAGGGCCTTACATGGACAAGCACCATCATACATTGGTGATCTTCTTAGTCCCTACACCCCCAGCAGGTCCCTGAGGTCCAGTGATCAAAGCCTACTGGTTGTCTAGGTCACCAGGCTAAAGACCAAAGGTGACAGAACATTTGCTGCTGTGGCCCCCAGACTCTGGAACTCTCTCTCCTTGAGCCTAAGATCAGTGGACTCAGTGGACTCCTTTAAAAAGCAGCTAAAAACTCACTTGTTCAAAGTGAGTTTTGTATGACCTTCTCCACCACTCTCTCTTTATTCTGCTCTCCCCACCTATTCCACCTTCCTCGGGATCCACTGATTTCCCTCTTTCCGACTCACTCTCTCTCTCTTTCTTATTTTTTTTATCACAATTGTCTATCTTCTGCTCATTTTAAATATATTTTTAACAATTTTCTAAATTCTTTTTTATATTTTAACATTTTTTGTTTTTGTGAAGCGCCTCGTGATTTTTATCTTGAGAGGCGCTATAGAAATGATATTTTCTTCTTCATCATCTTCCACTCAATTGGATGAAGGGCAGAGTGCCTATATTTCTTAGAAATCTTTCAGAATGATTGTAACGACATTTGCAACTAGTTTGCAATCATGTCATATGCTCTCACGCGACCTAGTCGGAGATAAAATGCATGAGTGTGCTTAATGTCAAAAAGTCTTTTGGTGTTCATATGATTCATTGATAGCACTAAATATTTTTAAAGTAGACATTAAAACTGAGATGGTCATTATTTAACTAATGTTTTGGATGATGGTATGTGTAGGAAGAAGAGCTCCCACCAACAGACCTCTCTGGACTGATGTCCTTCAGTCGCCTTCGTATAGAACCAAAGGGTGGTCGGTGGTCTGGGTTTTCACTCCAGCAGGCTTTCAGCAGAGCATTGACCTTCTCCTCACAGAGATGGTCAGACAGCATCGGCCGCAGAGGTTCCCCTTGGAAAGGTGTCCTCAGCTGCATTATAATCTCTTGGGGAAATGGGCAAACATTAGCGAATTAGTATTTTTTTAAATCAATTTATCATCCTGTCTTCTCTATCACATTCTTTCATTCAATTAAACAGTTGAGTATGGGCTCTTGAGATCCAAGGCTCCAAGAAAAAGTTCCTTTAAGGTCTTTGATATTGATACAAATGTTGAAGTTGATTGAATGTTTAATCAATCATCAGGTAGTTTGTTAGTAAGGATGTTTGATACCAGCATTTTTTACTGTTATCTGATGTAATTTTACTCAAGAAAAATGCTGCTCATGTAACGTCCAAAGGGGTCAATTTTCACCTATATATTGACCAACATAATAACCTTTTGTCTACAGAAATAAACCCCCTTTCTGTTTGGCTTTCCAAACCCAGAAGGTTCTGTTTAGCGCATGTTGACATTCCATGAAGACAAAACATCCAGACAAACATTCTCTTCCAAGGTCCTACACTCTCTGCATGAAAGCCAGATGCCAGCATTCTTCACTCTGAATAAGGGAAGACTCCATGACTTTTACACGTCATAAACTTACAATAATCATATGGGATGAATGAACAAGATGTTTAAATGAAATGTTTAGATAATCTGTGCTTAATCCAATGATGGCTTTAAAATGAATATTGTTCTTACAATGATCCATTTATATCATAAATCACTATGTGCTTGATTTAACAAGTTAATCATTGTTTACACTCATATACATTACATTAAGATACTCATTAAGGTTAAAATGCACCTCACATAAGGTTTTGATCATCCTCATTCACAGTGTTAAAAACATCTTTGTATCTGAAGGAAGGCGTGGCTTTCTGAGGGATGTTGGTGAACACTCAGAAACGAGTCAAATTCTGATTGGCCAAACTTGGCCAGAAATCATAACAAAGTAGTTTAATAAAACAAGAATTACTTCCTGATTATTTCAGTTTCCAGCTGACCCCGATTTGGCCAAATCAGGAAAGATGCCTCTTTTGAAACAAACTCTTTTGACCTTAAGTCAAAACCTTTCTGCGACGTTGCAAGTGATAACAGCCTTCACAGCTCTTTTCAGAGCTACTTCAACTCAGACATCCACCTCAGACCTCTAACCTGCAGACCCCGGGTTGGATCTCATGGCCGGGGAAGCTGAACTCAGAGGAGGCTACTTATGTCTGAGTATTGTGTTTTCGACGTCCGGTGACCTTACCACTCCGACCGCAAAGCTCCGGACCGCCGGGAGCAACTCATACCAGGGTATCGTAAGCCTGCACACTGGTGTCTGAGGTTTTTATCAATAACTAACTCTCTAGTTTATAACAAACAACAAATTATTTTACACCCAGATTTCACAATTTCTCTCAGATACAAACAACTGTTGCCAAAACATCTAGCTTCCATCACAACACCTCACATCCATCACATCACATTTCATTATTCATATCTTGTCATGTATCGTTAGTTTAGGAAAAATAATTAAATTCATTTTATAAATGATATACTGACTCTGTCTGAATGCAAAGTGTGTTTATAGTCCCTGAATAAGCAAAGAACACTAGAATCTTCTGATTAAACATTCAAAGCTCAATCAGATTGATATTTCATATTTACATGGAATCATCACATCTTATTGGTCATCATTAATATGTATTAATTGCTACACTCATTATAAAACAATCTGTGAAGGGCTATCTGTGATGGTGGATAAATTTCCCCAACCACATGGTACGTAACATTTGTGTATTTAAATGGATAAAGACAGATACAGATCATTTCCAATATTACATTTTAATGCAAATATCGACCCAAAAATAATGGTAGGTTGATAATATCGGATAATCCCTAATAATTACTAACTTCCCTTAATATGTTGTGTTTTTAGTTGTTCAGAAGGCTAATGCAGCTCCATTACTAACTCTGATAGAATTAGGCCTAAAGGACTTACCTTTAGGGTCTAGGTTGATGTCTTGATATGGGCCAGCTTTAGAGTTATACATGAGTTCCCACATGATGATGGCAAAGCTGTAGATGTCCCCTTTAGGTGTACCATTAGATGGAAGCTCAACCTGTCTCAGAAGTTCTGGGGCCGTCCAGTACAAATCTAAAAACGATAGGTAAAACTCCAGAATTGAAAATGAAAACTGAAGTGTCGTGTATAAAAGTTCTGGTAACCCAAGGTTCCACCGTCTCAGAAAAACTCTGCTTGGGGTTAGTGTGTGAATGTTTTTGAAGACATGTATGGCATTGTTGTGTTATCTGTTTGCGATTGCCGTCATAGACATAACTGAGAATTACAAGTGTGATTGTGTTACTAACTTAATACGTATAAACCTGATTTTATGGTTGCTTGTCTGATCTCCCAGTTCTTAATCTGTTAGGTAAAGCAGGTTCCATCCTTGTTCATGATTGCATGGTGCTTGATCTCATTTACCTTCATAATCAGGGTTTTCCATTAGACTGAGGTTTGTTTTTTCCTGGTATTTAAACTCCCAAAGTCCAAAACCAGAGAGCTTGATTTGGAGCCGGCTGTCCACCAAACATGTGCTCGGCTTCAGGTTTCCATGAAATTTAAGAGCGCTGTTGTGAATAAAGTCCATTCCCTGAGTCACACAAACAAACAAACAAACCAATAAATAACTTAACACATTTCAATAACAAAAAAGTAGCACTACTTTAAATAAGGCATATTCAGGAAAGTTAACATCAAAGGTAAAAATACCCCTGGAATTGTCATTGCTTGTCTGCCGCTCAAAAGCCTTCTCAGTGGCCTAGTGGTAGGGTGCCCACCCTGTGACTGGAAGATCAGGGTTCAAAAGTGGTCGGGTCATACCAGACTTTAAAAATGGGACCCAATGCCTCCCTGCTTGACACTCAGCCTTGAGGGGTTGGATTGGGGGGGGGGGGGGGGGGGGAGGGGTTAATGCCATATGAATACATTTTTATCAAAGTGATTTAGGTGTGACGAGTATAAATCAAGTGTGATTGGCAAAAGAAATTATGAAAGACTAATCTGTAGTGATTTAATCTGATTGGAGGCAGGCGGTGCTGGTATAAAGTTCTTATGGGTCAAAATGAATCACAACTTCTCTGTCGCTGAAGAGAGAAACCTCTGCCGAAACACAGGCAAGGTGTAGCCACACACACACACACACACACACACACACACACACACACACACACACACACACACACACACACACACACACACACACACAGTCTCATGACTGGTGTGGAGTAAACGTGAATCGTTAAGAACAGGAGAGGAATGTAACGTTGATCATAACTAAGCAAAGATCTAAATAATTTGGTTTGAATAAAGATGTTCTGCTAGCGTTTTAAAAGTGTTGATTCAGAATCATATGACCATGTTTGCTTGGGCAAAGGTTTTGGAGATGGCTACAGGAAATGGCTGCAAGGCTGCCTAACGGTGACTTGATGGAAAAGGAGAAGTGAAATTAGTGTGTAAGAGAAAATGAACGAGTCGTTAATACTTTATGTGTGTGAAGTTACAAATGTATTGATATTGAAAATGTTATGAAGTAACCCTGAGTGTTTATACATATTGTACCAAGATCCTACGAGTGTATTAATCTGTAACTGTGATTTGGCTGTTGATGTTGAAGTGAGGATAAAGACAGGAAGTGTGTGGTTTTACTCTGGGACCGATGGCTGAGCATGAAACAGGACTCTGTTGCCATGGAGAGCGGCTGCAGGGCTTGACAAGAGTCAGCTGATGGAAATAGCTGACTTCACAAGAAAAGCAGTCTCATCTACAGTCTCAGAGTACAACAACTGGTTCAGACAGAAATCTGGGTGCTATTCCCGCCTGTCAGAACACCAGTCAACAAGTGACGAAGATTGCTACAACCAAGGGCTTTGGGGTGCGGTCATCACACCCAAACACCGGATTGCTGAGCAGGCGCCCCACGGGAAAGTTCCTTCACCATCGGGGGATGATTGAATTAGAAAACCCCAGAGTCTGGCCCGGCAGTGCTTGAATCGCAGAGACATCCCCTGGTTCACTCTGGGGGAACTTGGGCGGAGCAGAAGAGTGAGCTCTTTCCTCGATCACCCAAATTAACAGAGAATCAAATCTCAATCAGAGCAAAGCCACGGCCATCAGGGAGCTAGGGTGAGTCAGATCCTAAGAGAATTTACCTGTAACAACATTTTCTTTTTGCTTGATGATGATCATCCATGATTACCAAGCTTGCCCATGCTAAATAAAATTACAAAATTAACCAAAAGAGAAGTTATGAACAATCAGTTTGTGACTGATTATTTTTCATAATTAAAACACATTAAGGCTACAAGTGTACTACATCATAAGATTCTTTTATAGGTTGCTTTAACCAAACATCAGCCTAGGAGCTATTTCTTTAACAAGTTCCTAGAAACTCCCAGATGGTAACATGTGCACGGATCGGAGGGATCTGCCAGAACGGGTGTGGCCGAGAGGTTCGGACTTCCTCAATCGGCTACTGAGAAGCACCGAATCCAGGAGGAGGAAGGCTGAGGCATCTGAGTAAGGCAGCTATTTTTGGGTGAGTCCCTCCCAACACACCAGCCTAATAATTTTCACCAGTAATCTGTAGTGGGCTCTGTTTCCCCTCAGGCCGGCTGGAAGTTCGGACCCTTGAGACGGGGGGCTGGTAGGAACCATGCTCCCATGTTCCATGACAGGGGTCAAACCACCAAATAGTTCCTGAGCACAGCCACAGCTGCAGCTCACCGCTCCCCTTCATGAGGATGGGTCAAATGTGGAGATGCAATTTCACCAGTGTGTGATGACTAATGGGACTTTACTTTTAATGTTACACTCACGTTGACAATGTCGTATGCAAATGACAACTTAAACATCCACTCGAGATCTACATCTGAAGCCCTCAGGACATCCTGTAAAAAGACAGAACAACTTGTGAACAGTTTGGTTGCGCATCAGCATTAGCTGTAAAAACAGAGTTTTCTTCTCACCTTCAGACTGCCTTTCTTGCAGTACTGGATGACCATGCAGATGTTTGGTGGTTCAACGCAAACCCCAAAGAACTGAACCAAGTTCTCATGTTTCATCTCTTTCATCTTTCTTAAAAAGTTGAAGATAATTAGGCAGAGTATCTATGTCTTTGAGTGGACAATGAAAACAAATCAGCATTTAAATGCCATAATAATTAATGCAGGTATTTGAAAGAGTTAAAAAGGTTCAGTATTATTTTTAATTAATGTCTGTGAACCATAAAAAACACATTTAAATTTAACATCACATTTTCAAAAATCAATATTTTTTTATTATGGTCTGTGGGTAACACTTTACAATAAGGGTCCCTTTATTGACATCACTTAGTGCATTATTAAGCATTAATTAACAAAGGATCCCTTAATTAATATTCCTGATATTATTAACTACTAAGTGTCCTTAAAGGGAGTCTAGGCAGTGCTGGCTTGCTTTTAGCACCCCCTAGTGTTTGTTTGTAGAACCGAAACCAAAATCCATCTAGTTGCTGTGCGTTCGTCTTTTCAACACCTTAATCTAACAGTTTAAATGTCTCCCCAGTCTTCCTTAGGGTCTACAGGAGTTAGTCATCACTGAATTTAACACATTAGCTGTGTTCATGATCTAAAACGTGCAGGAAACATGCTGAAACCAGATTGCAGCACCAGGTATGTCAGCTCCATTTTTTCTAAGTCCAAAAAAGTCTGGACCGACAACTGTGCAAAGTTGCAGAGTATCTCTTTAAGGTTAGGACAAAGGGTCTGGGGGGTGTCTGCTTAGTAATGCACTACTTAATATTGATATTAAGCAGTTGTTAATACTTTATTTAATAATTTATTAATGCTTAATAATGCACTAAGTAATGTTAATAAAGGGACCCTTATTGTAAAATATTACTGGAATTTGAATACAGGCAACCAAGAGGAGCTTTACCATATTGAACTCTGCGATGATTGAAGGTTTCTGGAAGTTACAGCTTGCAGGGTTCTTGACATACTTGATGGCCACATGATTTCCCTGGATTTACGTAAAAAATACTCATCAGCCAGAAATTATGTCTCAAGATGAGTGTACATTGCTCAAAAAATACCTTTTTAAAGTAGATACAACTAATCTTGTCATGTTCTGTGTCCTGTGGACACCAGCCCCTTCCAGGTTTCCCTCCCATGTTCCCACAGGGGTGCCCAATCACGGCCCTGGAGGACCGGAATCCAGGATTGGTTTTTCTGCTCCAACACACTTGATTCAGTGGTTGATTCGCCTGTGCAGCAGCTCACCAGGCTCTGCAGAAGCCTGTTAATTAGCTGCTGATTGAAATTAGGCGTGTTGAAAGAGAGTAAAAACCAAAGCATGCAGGTTACCGGCCCTCCAGGACCAGGATTGGGCATCCCTGCTCTAGTCACATCATATTTAGTTGTCCCATCTCGTTTATTGCCAGTCTCCCCAGTATTAGATTCCCTCTTCTTTTGATTTTTGTCTCTTTGGATCCTCAAGTTAGAGATCTGGTGTTTCTTGTTTTTTCTTGTGTCTCTAGTTTAGTATGTTCTATATGTTTATATTAAGTTAGTTTCTCCCTTTAGATATTGTGTTCCTTTGCCTTCAATTAGCAAGTGACCAACAGGTTTCTGCAGTGCTTGATGAGCTGCTGCACAGGTGATACAACCACTGAATCAGGTGTGCTGGGCTAGAGAAACCACTGAAACGTGCTGGATACCAGCCCTCAAGACCCAGAATTGAATAGACCTGCTCTAGTGTCTCCAGCCATGTAGTTTTACTCTTCAGGTTTTAGTTATTCTTAGTTCTACTCAGCTTTTTAAGTTTCTCCTTCTAGTTTCATCTTCAGCTCTCTGTATGTTTTATGCATAGTTGGTCTCCTCCTCTGGTTTATTGCATTTCCTCCCCACTCTGTTTATTGGTTACACCTGCTCCATTTTCCCTGATTGCTCCCCTCTAAAATCCTGTCAAGTCTTTCTGTGGTTGTTGGACCATTGTCTCCTGTCAGCGTTACTGTCTCTTGTGCTCCCTAGTCTCCTTCTAGTAAGTTTGCTGTCTGTTGCTATTTTCCGGACTATAAGCCGCAACTTTCCCCAAGCTTTGAACCATGCGGCTTATAATGAGGTGCAGCTTTACTGAAGATTTTCCTTTGCCTGCCAGGGGCCGCTTTAGCAGAAAGTGAAAAAGGTGGAAGTCAAAACTGGAAATCGAAGAAAGCGCTCATTTTAATTTAGCACATGCAAGCAGCCGGCACGACAAATAATTTTTTTCAAATCCATACCCCCTCATCATGGAAACTACATGTATGAGTTCATATGATGCCGCATTTAAGTTGAAGGCCATCGATCTGGCAGTAAAGGAGGGAAACAGTGCTGCCGCACATAAGATTGAATTAATCCATGGTTCAGCGCTGGAGACGGCAGCGGGAAGAACTCATTCAAGCCAGCTTCACCCGGGGATGATGACAGCAACACGGACAGCGACACTGACATTAACACAGAAAAGGCATGTGACGAAGCTCTTCTGAGGCTGTTCAACTCCGACACTGAAGAAGAGGACTTTAATGGCTTTAGTGCCCAAGAGGAAGATGAGAGTGAATGACTTCTTCTGGTAGGCAAGTGTGTTTTATTAACTAACCAGGCATGTTTTGTGTGCAGTTTTTATTTTCTAATCATCCAGGGCTTATTAATGCTGTGTCAGCGCTGTTCTTTTCTTCTAAACATGCATGCAAATTACCGGTAATAACGTGTCAGTTCTGTTTTTATTTTATAACCATCCAGAAAAATGAATACTATCAGTGCTCACCTGTGTTTAAAATTTGTTTTGTTGAATTAAAACAACAACAAAAAACCTTTGTGTAGCGTCTTTCTGTCTAATTAACTTATGTTATGGCCACACATGCACTGTGTGCCGGAGACCTGCATGTGGCTGCTGCGCTGCTGCTTGTATTTGAGTGCGGCGTGTGTGTGTAGAAAACCTTTTTTATTTTGTTGGTGTGGCTTATATTGAGGTGCGCATTATAGTCCAAAATTACAGCACCCAACTCTTCCTAAATAAAGCAATATTACCTTTGAACCAACAAACTATCTGTGTCGTTCTGGGTTTCCTTCATTTTTGGTCCAAACCTCTACCTAACGTGACAAATCTAGGACCAAATTAAGAGCTGCAGCCTACATTTTAGACTGTGGAACCTCAGACCTTCTCTTTTGACAGATGCGGCTTCTTTTACCTCTTTTTCAAAACACCAATCCAAAATATAAACATTCTTGTCCTTGAAGGAGTGTCCCTTATTCTTGAGTTGTAGGTTGACAGAAATTTGGATCTTCTGTGTTATAATATGTGATTTTATAATGGTTGTTGGGGTCTCCCCATATCCTAACACATCACACTTGAGATTGATTTTTGGATTGAAGTTCCCCAGGGTGCTGTGTTTGGAGAAAAATCTTCTACATTTTCAGACACTCCAGCAATTTATGGAATGAAATCCTTTTTATGTATTTTGCCTTTGTGTTTTAGTATGACCATGGGAAACTTTCCAGACTTCTATGCTGATTTTTTAATAACAGTCGAGTTTTGGAATCTGCAGGATTGCAGTGCTTTCCTGATGAGTCTCTTGGGGCTGTTGTTGTGTGCAAGCACAGTCCGTTGTTTGCCTCTACGTAGATGTTAAAATATGTTAAGCATGTTTTGACCTATAGAATGTGTGAATTTGTATTTACCACTTTGTATTTAACACTAGTATAGGCTCAAAAAATTAAATCAGCTGTTCTGGCAGTAGAATAGAAACAGAAGTACCGGTACTCCTTCCTCCCACTATACAGACTTTACTTGCAAGAACCTAGACATTTTTACAATAAGCTCAGAATAAAACCTACCTGATATAGACCTATGGTAGTATAGATGTTTTCTTTGCCTGTCTTGTCCCTCAGGTCATAGCTGTTGCTAGAAAAATGGCTCTGACAGCTACTGGCACTACGACTTCCTGTGGAGCCAAGAGATGAACAATGGTTTCCCTAGAGGACAAAATAAATAAATAAATACACATCATTCAACCACATCTACAATAAAATCCTGCCCTTTGAACTTTTCTGCCCTTTCTTGAGCACTTACTGAGGGCTCCCTGATGATGGTGATTTCGCTGTAGTTGATTATCCACCAGTTGGAGTCATCCAGCCTCATCTGGAGCCGAAACTTCTGCAGCATTAGAACGCCAATCCACAACACTGCCACCACACCAATCATGGGAAAGGTCACTAGCACAGCCAGCAAGGCGACTTCTGTGTTTTTTGAAAATGGTAATTAATAAGAGTTTTACTTAAAATTGGAGTTTCAGGCTTAACATGTTTTACAGAGCTTTATTGCTTGTCATTTTGCTTTTCATGGTTGCTTTACCACTAGACAGCCATTCACAGAGTTCGCCACTAAAACCACATTCGGGTATGTCAGAGGGTGGCTTTCCTTTGGGCCATACCACAGAAGCATACATTGACGTTGGTCTGAAATGTAAAACTTTTATCAGCATATGCACCAAAGTGTAAAAGAAATGCTTCTTTTTTATTGTTATACTACAGTCAGAATGGATTTGTGAGTCATTTTCTAGCAAATTCCTTTATTAATGTTTCTTTCTTACCTGATGATTTTGGTTTGGCTTTCAAAGTGGAGGATAGGCACAAACTTGATGCCATTTCCAACAAATTGCAGGTCATAAATTGAATAGTCCACATTTCTCTCCCCATCTGTGTCAAAGTGAACTAATCCAGAAGCACCTGCAAGAGACATGACTGCAAGTCAGTCTGACAAATTAACTTTGTTTTAGTACAAAGAATGAACATGACTGCTATCTCTGTTAGCTTGCTTGGGTTCAGGTCAGGCCAAGACCGTCCTCCAACCAGCAATTTCTACAAGTTTCCCCAGTGGGATCCTGATGCGTTCCTGAGCTAGCCAAGACAAATAATCTTCCTAATATGACCTGGGTCAGCCCTGAGGTCTTCCCTGGAAGGGCATGCATGAATCACATCTCCTGGGAAGTGTCCACTGGGCATCCCAATGTTTGAGCCTTTCAGTTCAGACATGGTTAGGATTAACAGAGACATAAATCAGAAATCATTGGGCAGATTGTGTCATTCTGATCAATTTATCAATGGTACTGCAACAAAATATGGACAACTGCATGGACAGTTTGACATCAACATCATTAATATTTAGGATAATTTTAAACCTTTTAATTTCCCTCAAGTACATACAGTATAACTTAACAGCATACTGTTTTGTGCAATTGGGATTTAGAACAAATAAAAATGGAACTGGAGGTAGAAATCTGCAACTAAAACCATTTAGCAACACTGTCCCTCCAGATTTAGTTTAATTTAAAGTCTTTCACTGAAGACTTTTGCAAAATGTTCAGCAAACTCTTGGATTTGAGGAGTTGCCCTTAAATAAAGCTGACTCCTTCATGGGGTGTAACAGTACTTGCATTTGTATTTGGATTTTAGGTGCTGGACAGACACATACCAAGTTTCCACGTGGATGTCAATCAATCAATCAATCAAAGCTTTATTTACAAAGCGCCTTCCGCAACCCTGTCAGGAAGCCCAAGGCGCTGAACATGGTACAGTAGAAGTACAAATATAGTGAATAAATCGAAAATAAAAGCAATTCAGAAATAAAAGCAATTCAAATTACAAAATACTAATTTAAAAAAAGGTGAAACATTCTAGTACAGGACAGATGGGTAAAACAAGGGATGGAGTGAACCAATGAAAACTGTGAAAGAAATTCAACGTAAAAGAGGGCCGAATCAAACATGTTCAGGAAACGCCAAGCGGAGAAGGTGTGTTTTTAGGCGACTCTTAAAGGCTGGCAGAGATGGGGACAGCCTAACTGAGGGTGGCAACTGGATCCTGAGAGACGGTGCTAGGACTGAGAAAGCCCGGTCCCCGCGAGTACGACACCTAGAACGAGGGACAGCGAGCAGGCCTTGTTCAGAGGAGCGCAGAGCGTGTGATGGGGAATGCTTGTTCGGGAGTGTGGCTAGATGGGGGGAGCACCACCCTGGAAGAAATTGTAAACAAAGACGAGGATTTTGAATTGTGCACGATAGCAAACCGGAAGCCAGTGCAGGGAGGCCAGAACTGGACTGATGTGGTCCCGTTTCCTGGTCCCAGTCAGGAACCTTGCTGCGCTGTTCTGCACAACCTGTAGGCGACGCAGTGATGACTGACACAACCCTGAATAAAGAGAGTTGCAGTAATCAAGCCTAGAAATAACAAAGGCATGCAGTACCCGCTCCAGGTGGGCTCTCGACAGCATAGGCTTGATATTTGCAAGGCGTCTCAGGTGAAAGAAACTGGACCGGATCACCGAGTTGATGTGAGCCTCAAATTTAAGTCCAGCATCAATTTTCACTCCCAAACTGGTAACAACTGGTTTTGAGTAGGGAGAAAGAGGGCCAAGATCAACATAACGACCCACATTCCTGCAGTTGGGGTGAAAAACAATGAGCTCTGTCTTTCCCACATTCAATCAATCAATCAAATTAAAGCTTTATTTATAAAACGCCTTCCGCAACCCTGTCAGGAAGCCCAAGGCGCTGAACATGGTACAGTAGAAGTACAAATATAGTGAATAAATCAAAAATAAAAGCAATTCAGAAAAGCAATTCAAATTACAAAATACAAATTACAAAAAAGGTGAAACATTCTAGTACAGGACAGATGGATAAAACAAGGGATAGAGTGAACCAATGAAAACTGTGAAAGAAATTCAACCTAAAAGAGGGCTGAATCAAACATGTTCAGGAAACGCCAAGCGGAGAAGGTGTGTTTTTAGGCAGCTCTTAAAGATAGATGCAGATAGTTGGCCATTAGCCAAGACTTCACCTCGTTAATACAGGACACAAAGGACTGGATAGAGTGGCCTTTCTCCTGACACAATGGAGAGTAAATCTGGCAATCGTCAGCATAGAGATGGAATGATAGGCCATGTTTACGAAAGATTGACCCCAGAGGTAGCAGATAAATGGCAAACAAAAGAGGACCAAGGATAGATCCCTGCAGGACCCTCCAGTGGAGCCCCTCCCAAGAAGAAAAAACATCACCCAGTTTAACGCAGAATGTCCTGTTGTGGAGATACGATCTAAACCAATCTAGAGCAGACCGTTTGATCCCAACCCATCGTTCCAAGCGATCGAGTAGAATCGCGTGGTCGACTGTGTCAAAGATGCCGTCAGATCTAACAACAGAAGCACCACAGATGTACCCTGATCTAGTGATAGATAGATATCATTTAAGACCCTCAGTAGAGCTAACTCTGTGCTATGGCCAGACCTGAACTCTGATTGGAAAACCTCAAACAGATCAGAGTCAGCTAAATGTGAGACCAGCTGCTGATAAATGACTTTCTCAAGCAGTTTTGATGTAAAAGGCAGGGTAGAGATAGGCCTGTAATTTGTGATCACAGTGACATCTGCACCAGGTTTCTTCAGGGTCGGCCGAATAACTGCTGCTTTCAAAGCAGCTGGGACCACACCTGTGCTGAGGCTCCCATTGATAATCTGACCAAGTGATGGGCCAAGGCACAGAAAGGCAGCCTTCCAGAGGCGAGGCGGCAGAACGTCAAGTGGAGAGCCAGATGGCTTCTGCCTTGCAACAAGCTTACTCAGCTCAGAATATGAAACAATATTGAGGGAGCTCAGGGTGGGTGGTGATGGAGGAAGTGGAACAGTGTCAATAAAGTTAGCGGAAATAGCTGCTCGAATGCCTGATACTTTATCAACAAAGAATCTGTGAAAATCTTCAGAGTTTCCAGCAGCTGTAGGAGACATGGAGCTAGGCTCCTGATACACCAGAACAGAGTTTAGTGTTTTGTAGAGAATCCTGGGATTCTTGGCGTTTGTTTTCATGATGTCTGCAAAATAGGCCGTTCTGGCAGCCCTCACAGCATCCTGATAAGCAACCAGAGATGCTCTGAACAACTCACGCGAGACCTGTAGGCCATCCTTTTTCCACTTTCTCTCAGAGGATCTACACGCCTGCCTACAAGCCCGTGCGACATCAGAGAGCCAAGGCTCCCTCCTAGGCTGAGACTTGCAAAGTTTGAGAGGGGCAACCACGTCCAGGACCTGATTACAAAGTACATCAAAGTGTTGTGAATAGTGATCAACGTTAGATGGATCTGGGTTAAAGGTCTCTAACCTTACAGACATACAGTCCACAAACTTTGAAATAGTTTCTGCATCCAGGGCTCTGAACCTAGTAGCGGGAGCTTCACACACAGGGACAGGACATGGCAACGTAACATCACAGAGTATAGGAGAGTGGTCAGAAAACACAGGAGGCAAAGTCACAAGGTTCATGACAGGGAGACCAAAAGAGAGAACCAGGTCCAGGGTGTGACCCCTGGCATGAGTTGGGGATGATACCCATTGAGTTAGATTGAATGAATCTAGCATATTAAAAAAATCTTTAGCAAGCACATTGTCAGGACAGCAGATATGGATGTTAAAATCACCAAAAAATAGGACATAGTCATATTTTAGGATGCAGTCTGCCACAAGATCACAGAAATCATTAAGGAAGTTAGAGTCAGTCTTTGGAGGGCGATAAATCAGCACAACGAGCAGGCGGGGGGAGATGCACAGTTCAAATAAGCATAGTTCGAAGGAAGAAAATGACATGGTGGGTGTAAGCTGTTTACAAGGAAAGCTGGATTTAAAAACAACAACCAGCCCTCCACCTCTGCCCCGTGATCTGGGGATATTAAAACAGGAGCAGCCAGGTGGTACCAGCAGCCCGCTACATCAACGGGAGGACGAAGCCTCAGCAGCACAGCTCGATCGTAAGTAAGCAGAGGATCCACACCATTCAAAAAAAGCATCAGAGACAACAAAAATGCATAAAAGCCAATAAAACGCCAATAAAAGCCAGTAAAAAGCAAGGTACCACTGCGTAAAGAGGACGAGCAGCTCGCAGCGTGTACCCGCGCAAGCGCCATCTTAACTCTCCGATGTGTAACTGTGTTGCATTTTATCCAGCAACATAAGCGGCTGTGTCCAAAATCAGCATCCACTGAAGGGTCTGGTTGATGAAGACTTGTGTAGGTACCAGACACCAGGTGTTACTTTGACAGGGATGACCAGAAATATGTAACGTGATGAAGGAGCTATTCCAAGGTTATCAAGGTTATTTAACCTCTTTCCACAGTTGCCTCTGACACAGTGGTAGAGTGCATGAGACAGCCTCAAGGTCATGCATTTGTTTCTAAACTGTTTACTTTCCAGCAAGAAAAGAAAGAAGATTAATAGACTCTTTTCTTTTATTAAATCAAAGAACTCTATTTTTAAATAAAGCTAATCAAAACTGCTGTTAGTCAATAATAAAATGTGACCGATCTGTGAAATCACAATGTTATGATTAATATGTTTTAATAAGTAAATGACTTAATCTAGTCACTAGACACACGTAATGAAAACAATCGCATGACACATTGCTGTTGCTGATCCAATCAGAACCTTTCTAGTCTGAAGCGTGGTATAGTCTCTGTGGTGTTTATAAATCTGCCAGCTTTGATTCGACCAGAATTCAAAACATCCAGATTAATAAAACTAGATCCAACGCCATCTTAGTTCAGTTCTCAAGATCTCACCGAGTTCAGCGCATGCTAAGCGGAGTAATCGGACCGGCCATCCGTTCTTCCCTTTTAAAGCTGAGAACCAAGCTGAGAACCATCAAGCTGGAAAAATCTGTTGTTTTTACCAACCAAGCAATGGTTCCTTTCAGAATAAAAGCTGAACTCGCTGACCCAAGGAGGGTCCCCTTTTGACGCTGTGAACCACCTGTCGCTTTTACCTGGAGACAATCCAAGGACTAGTTTGTCGTGCTGTGACGCTGTACCACTGGCTCCAGTACCGAGAGGAGGGTCAGTGGACCTGACATTCTGGATCCGTGAAGGAGGTCTCCCTGAGGGTATGTGTGGATGCGACAAATGGCGTCTCATGTGTTTATGACTACTCCGGTCAAACTCTGATCAGTTAGACACAAAACATCATCCCACTCAGACTTGCCTCTCCGGATACGAGAGTTCTGAAAAACACTCATTCACACACACCATCCATCTCACACCTCATTCAAACAGAACATCCATCATTAGAGTTAGTATTGTTTAAATTGTTTAAAATTATTTAGTAATAAATCATCTTAAACGTTTGAAGGACTCTCTTCTCTTGTCTCTCAGTTAATACAAAGTGTTATCTAATCCCTTCATTAAAAAGTTCCAATCTTCTGATTAAATAACCCAGTGGTCCGTAAGATTGACCCCATACGCGATAAGGGATCTTAACATCTCACGGTCCTTAATTAAATGTAAATTACTATCATTACAAATAAATGGCTGTGAAATTGTTCAAGCCTTCATATTTTACTCCTTGTCCTTTTCTTGGTGTATGTCATATCGCCTAGCAACTTTAACAAAGCTACACACGGTTTAAAATTAAACTGAGGCAGACCTCCAGACGAGTCATTGTGTACTTGGGCAAGACACTTCATACTTACCTTACCCACTGGTGGTAGTCAGAAGGACCAGTGGTGACTTGTGTACATTTCACCAATGAAAAGCTCTTTTTTCCCACTGTGATCCCTCACTGTAATAGCCTAGAAATCTAGACAGACTCTAGCAGAAGCAAAAGGAATTTGCTCTTCAGGTTGGTCTAGCCATGCTTCATAGGAGCCTCAGCAGGCGCTTGCCAATCACAGCGCTCTATCAGTTTGGTGGCCAATCACAGCGCTCTGTTAGTTTGATTTTTTTGGTGAGTGGGATGCTGCTGCGACGAAGCGGTCACTTGCTCCCCTCATTGGAATGCACCCATTAACTCATTCACTGCCAGCCATTTTCTGATCAGTAAAGTCCTTCGCTGCCAGCGTTTTTCAGCGTTTTTACTGTTTTTTTAAGTCACAGAACGTTGCGCACTATGATGATGTCAACGCCAAAGCTAACAAAACAAAGAGTAGCCCCACCTCTTACATCAGGAAGAATCCGCGTGTTTCAAGTGTTATCTGTTCTTTCATAATCCTTTGTCGAATTGTGATCGGCAGAAGCGGCCCAAAACGATCTTCTTATATGTGGATTTTCTGCTTCGTGATCACGTGACGTGTGACGTACATGGATGAAGATTGGCTTTAGGTCTGGGTTGTTTGTTCTTACAGTGCGGGGGCTCGTTCAGATGCCCACACAGTAATAAAATGCAAATGACGACTCTAGTCGCATTGGCATTTAATGAGTTAATTGAGAATCACTACCTTAAGTCAATTGAACTGCGACGTCAAAACCAAGTTTAGTGCCAAACCGAATGTTCTAGACCAGGGGTGTCAAATATGCGGCCCGCGGGCCGGATCCGGCCCACAAGCGGGTTAACTCCGGCCCGCGGGATGGTTGTGTAAACTTTATTTTCATACTTTACAATGTAGAGTGAAAATAAACTTATCATTGTGAGTAAGTTTTCTCTGTAATGAGTATAAACAAAACAAAGCTGCGTTCAAGGCTCACACAAGAACTTGAATCACATCCTGAAGTTGGCCGCCACTCAGGATGTGACTTCTGATATTGATGGGCTGGCGAAAGCTAAAAGATGTAAAGTAAAATGAGTCAAATATACTTTAAGTGCTGCATGAAACTGATCTAGCCATGTGATCTGTAAGCTCTTTGAATCACTAAGGAATGTTTTTTTAATTTTTTTTTTTTTTTTTTTCAAATTTTCAAGTACACTTCAGGTGTTGTACTTGTACTACACTGTCCTCAGGCTCCAGCCTTGTTTTATATTGATTGTATTAAAACAAAGAAAACAATCTGAAGTTTTTTTTTATTTACCGGTCCGGCCCACTTGGGACTAGATTTCCCTCAATGTAGCCCCTGAGCTAAAATGAGTTTGACACCCCTGTTCTAGACGAACCATTCCACCCCTACTCGTGTACAATGTACACGTGTAACACTTCAATCGTGAAAAGCTGTGTTCAGTGTTGTGACAGCTGTGAACTGGCTGGAGTTACCATCAAATCGAATTTTGTCTGTGGTCTTCAGCTTTTGTAGAATGTGTCGACCGTCGTATGGATCATCTCCATCTTTCAGAACGTCCTTTAGTGCCATTGCATACAAAAGCACAGCGTCATGCAGGAAGGCAGAGTAGGGGCTAACCTGACATTTATTAAGGAAGAACAAATAAATAAAAGTGATTAAACTTTAGAATTTGATCGAGTTTTTATCAAAAGTATGTTTCTTTACTTGCCTCACTTTCCGATGTCAGGTTAGTCCAGAATGGATGTCCTTTTAGCCTTTGAAAAACTTGCTTGAAGAAGTCATAATACTCATAGGATCCTTCGTAGGATTTTTGGCCAATAATAAAAACCATGTCAAAAGCTCGAGTGGCAGCCTGCTTTATTCTGCTGCTCATGGTTTCTTTCCACAAGTTATCCTGTTTAGCATTAAAAGAAATCAGCAAATGGTAAATTGTAATTGGCCTGCACTTGTGTAGCACTTTTCTACATCAAAGGACTCCCATGCATTTTACACTACAACTACTCATTCACACATTCACAGAACCATTCGCAAGCTGAGAGAAGCAAGGCTGCCACACAATTGGCACCACTGGTTCCCTCCAACCAGCAGGCAAGGAGGGCGACATGTCTTGCTCAAGGACACAACAACTGAGATGGACTGGTTAAAGCCAGTAACCCACCTGTTACAGAAGAAAACCAGAACTCAGTATTGCCCAACAATAAATCAATAAAGTGAGATGTCTGATATTATCAGCTGATATTGGCTTTCAAATGTTGTATAAGAAATTATCGAGAGCGGGTTCTCAGAAGGTTGCAAGTTCGATCTTGGCTCCGACCACTGTTGTGTCCTTGGCAAGACACTGAACCCGCTTTGCCTGCTGGTGGTGGTCGGAGGGATCGGTGGCACCTGTGTAAGGCAGGTCTTACCTCTGTCAGTGCACCCCAGGGCAGCTTTAGCTACATCGTAACTCATCCCCACCAGCGTATAAATGTGTGTGTGAATGGGTGTATGACTGTGTTGTGAAGCGCCTTGGGGGGTTGTACAACCCTATGAAGGTGCTATACAAATACAGGCCATTTACCATAACAATTACCTTAAAACATTTATGTTACAGTGATAATGTAAGATCATAAGACTTAATGATTGAATGTTTGGTTGTTTTATAACCAGAACCCCATGTCCCATTTCAGTGTGAACATGGTAAGATTCTCATTCTCTGTTTTGTTTTTCTGAATCATCAATCGTTCTTTTTCTCATAACCTCATAATGCTTGTAAATGAGGTCAACAATCTCATCATTTGAATCCCCACATATCTATTGATTTATTTTACTCCTGCTGCATTCGCTGACCTCAAAATGCTGCACCAGGAAGAAGACGTAGTCGCCATTCATCAGACCCTGACGTTCAGCCTCCAGCAGCAGAGCCATAGAGTCCTCTCTGTTGCTCAACACCACAATAACTGGAAGGAAAAGGTCACAAAATGTTATACTGAACTGTTTTAACTTGTGTAGGATAAAAAATGTGAAAATATTTTATCGTTTCTCCACAAACAGCTGAGAGAAACCTGTCTGTTACCTCTGGCGACAGTTGAGATGTACTTTACATTTTGGTACATGAGCTCAGGATTGCTGGTGTCAAACTTCACCTCAGCAGCCAGTTTGAACTTAGTTCTCAATGGATTCTCCACTGTCTTCCACAAAGCATCAACTTTGTCCCAGGTGTTTGTCTCTAATCCCCCTCCAATCATGGCCACGTGACTCCACCCAAAGAACTCCAACGTTTTCACCAGGACCTCGGAGCTTCTTTTGAAAGGAGGCATGATTTTGATGTAGGAGTCATACATCTCCTCATCTTCCAGTTTGGAGGACTGACCCACAAAGCCGAACATGGGGATGTGCCACGTTGATGCAATCAGACCTGTGACCTGGGAAGTATTAAGAATAAAGTCAAGTTTTTCTTTAATGTGTAGTTTGTCACACTCATTTTAGTTTGTTTGATTAACTGCTAGATGTTTCCAGATGTTTTCCAAAAGCTATCATTTTTCTATATGGGATCATTCATTAAATATTTTAGATCTTTTTTTTTTACATTTAGATTAATCGCACTTGGACTTTTTCATTTAGTAAAAACATGGTAACCAATGAAAACAGTTTGATATAATTGTTTTCCAGCTTGTTTAAAGTTAATTTTAGACATTTCTCATTGAGAAATGATGTATTAGTCGCTGGTGCTGCTTAGATGGAATTAAATAGAGAGGTACATGTCCCATTTACTTTTTAACAACTGATTAATATTTTGTTATTAAAAACTTTTATTTATTTCGTCTTCCATCAAAGTGAAAATAGCACAGTTGGAAACAATGTGGCTTAAAATATGTGCCTTTAAACTGTAAAATGTACAATTGCGCTTACTGTGATATGTTTTGTTGTTTAACTTTAACTAGTATTTGCATTTCAGTGAGAAAGATATTTTTAGAAACATGCAATGCTGTTTAATGTTAACGGTGACACCTACAACAAAATAAGGACACACCTGCACATTGACCTAAATGCAGTTTGTTTTCATCAGCTGTAATCCAACAGAAACACATGGGGAAACCGTAATAAAATATAAATAAACTGCCTGGAAAACATCAAATAAAAGCAGATGTTGTTGGTTGAGCTGCCTCCTTTTACCAGAGTAACTTTCATCACAAACACAAGCACAATCGTAGCTTGCAGGAGACACTGAGACTTCTTACTGACACCAAATAGAACACAACTATAGCAGGGTTCCTACCTCAGCTTCTTCTGGACATGCTGGACCAAAGAGAGCCGTCACGTTCTCTCTCCACACCTGGTGGATGAATCCTCCCAGGGACTCTTTAGGATTACAGTCTGTATCCTTGTAAACAAAATCCAGACTGTAGTTTCCCAGGAAGGAGGGGTTGTTGTTCACCTTCTCCACGGCTATCTGGATGGCCGAGCCCAGCCGACGAGCACTGAAGGGAAAGGACACGTTCCAGGGAGCCTGGAAGGCAATGAGCAGCCTGTGAGTTTGAGAACCTTTGCTGCTGCTGCTGCTGTTGTCCACAACAGCAGCAGCAGTTAGAACAAATGTCAGAACAAGTAACAATATGAGGCTCATGCTAGAATAATTTAACACCATTTTCATTCTGTTAGTTTCAGGATGTACCAGGCTTAAATACCCAACTGCCTTGGTGATGCCGGACTGTTGGTCAGGGAGGAGAAAATGTAAATATGTTGAGGAGAGTGGGAGGTACACAGCTGAGTTCATTATTTTTGTTGTTTGTTGTAATAAAAATAAGAAAAACATCTTCAAGATGATCCAAACTCATCCAGTGTTTGTATTTACACCTCTGGATAACTTTTCAAAGAGAAGATTTTCAGGGGATAATGCTGCATGCAGAGTCATTTATATTTAGTTGAGTTTTTAAAGCCTTAATCCAGAGATTAAACCATTTAAAGTGTAAAATATCAAAATTATATTCATTATAACCAACTAATTTTTCTAAACTCAACTCTTCATTGGCATAACGTTAATGATCTTCCTGAGACTGTGGTTCTTCCACCGTTACACTTTATAGTGTTCAATTTAAACCTGCTTTTGTTATTTAGGAAGACTGAATTTATAATGCAAACATTACATTTTTACTATTTTTTTTTACATTGAGAAAATTAGAAATATTAAATATTAAAAAACAAAGTATGTTTCTTTGATGTCTGTTTGGTCATTCTAATCTTAAATATCTGGAGGAAATAAACATTTTACAGTATAAAATGCTTGGGTGTCTGTGACTTATAATATTATGTTTTATCATGCAATTATATAACAATATAACAATAAAAATACAAAAAATAAAATTGGTCCTTACCCTCCTTAGACCCTCCACCAGAGGGCAGTGAATGTGTATAGCACTGAATCTGGCAGGTTTTTGAGCTGCCCATTCTGTTTTAGGGGCAGAAAGGATCTCATGCAAATGTGCAACAATCATCTTAGGTGTGTTCTTGCTGTGTCTTTCTAAATCCATGCTTTCGTTCTTTTTTAAACACAGAAACAGTTTTGTTTACCTGTTTGTAGCTACAAGAAAAAGAGGGGAGAAATACAAGGCAACTCCACACCAAACTCATGGGTATGTAACATTTCACAATACAAACTAACAGAAGCAGAAGAGAGCATATTAAAGAAAGGTTTAAACTTTGCAGTCACACCAAAAGTAATACCATATGATGAATTTATTGTAGCAACAGAACTAGCATGTCAACAGATCACAGATGAGGGAAAGAAAGCAGAACTCAGAAATAACATAGTTGGGATATTAAAAAACAGCCAAATTCAACACAGCAATATTACAAAAGAAGAACAATCAGCCATGACAGCTTTATCCAAAAATGAACAGATAATTATTCTACCGGCAGATAAAGGAAGAACCACAGTAGTTATGGACAGAGAAAAATATAAACAACAGATGAAACAGATGCTAGAAGACAAAAATACATATGAAATACTTAAAAAAGATCCAACAGAAAACATTAAGAAAAACATGAAAAAATTTCTGAAGCCACTGCACGAAAAAGGCAAAATAACAGAAAAAATGTACAAACACTGGATTCCTACAGCAAACATAACACCAAGAATATATGGAACACCAAAAATACATAAACAAAACACCCCACTTAGACCAATAGTTGACAGCATAGGTACACCAACATACAACATGGCAAAAGATATCAGCAGAATCATCAGCCCGTTATTAGGAAACACAGACCAACACTGCAAAAATAGTATAGAATTGGCAAAATAACTAAAGGAAATTACAATAGAAGACAACGACATCCTCATCTCACATGACGTCACATCTCTGTTCACAAAAACACCAACCCAAAAAACCATAGACATAGTAGTTAACAGAATCAGACAAGACAAAACTTTACACAAAAGAACAAACCTCACAGCAGACGACATAGCACAACTGATAGGACTGGTAGCTAACTCCACTTACTTCACATACGACAACACAATATACAAACAACTGGAAGGCTTCGCCATGGGTAACCCGTTATCAGCCACCCTGTGCGAGTTTTTCATGGAAGACCTGGAACAAAAAGCCATAGCCACCGCCCCCCCAAACTGCAAAATAAAACTATGGAAACGCTACGTGGATGACATACTGGAAATCATACCAAAAGGTCAAACAGAAACACTAACACAACACTTAAACAATATTGACGACACGGGCAACATAAAATTCACTTATGAGTTAGAAACAGAAGGCAGCATAGCTTTTATGGATATGAAAATCACCAGGCAGACCGACGGGACCCTAAACATAAACACATACAGGAAACCAACACACACAGACCAATATTTATTATGGACATCAGAACACCCTACCATACACAAAATGTCAGTAATCAGAACATTATATCACCGAGCAAACATAATAACAGAAGAGAGAGACCGTAAACAAGAGGACAAACACATACAACACGCTTTAAAGACCTGCGGATACCCGACATGGGCAATAAACAAAGGAAAACAACAAACAAAAACAGAAAGCAAAGAACAACCCAAAAAAAGAAGCAGAAACCCAGAAAGACAAGAACCAAAACCAGTGATAACCCTACCATACATCAGAGGCATAACGGAAAAAATAAGAGCAACAATGAAAAAACACAACATAAACACACCAACAAAGCCATACACAACAGTTAGAAACAGACTAGTGCACCCAAAAGACAAAATATCAGCTGGACAAAAATGTGGAGTCATCTACGAAATCCCATGCAAAATATGCAATAATACATACATAGGAGAAACCGGACGCCAACTCAATACACGGACAATAGAACACAGAAAGGAGTGCGAGAAAGAGGCAACTCGTAAACACACAAGAGCAGCAAAAGAAGAAGCAGAAAGTACAATAAAAAAGTCAGCCGTAACAGATCATTGCTTAAGAGAAAACCATATAATGGACTGGGACAGCACACGGATCATAACCACCGAACAACAAAAATACAAAAGATGGATCAAGGAAGCAATCGAGATAAGGAGACGTGGATGTGGGACCATGAACAGGGACGACGGAGTTTACACGCTGGACCACGCATGGGACTGCATCGTCGGAGAGGGGAGAGCGGGCAGTAGAGGGCGACAACGTCCTCTGCTGCCCGCAGATAAACGGAGAAGGAAGTGACGCGCCACCATCAGCGTCAGCCTGAAGAAGCCGGCAGCCGTCGGCGAAACTGTAGCTACAAACAGGTAAACAAAACTGTTTCTGTGTTTAAAAAAGAACGAAAGCATGAATGTGCAACAATGTTCTAAAGGGATTAAAAATTAAACCTAAAAGATGCAATTTGATTTTCAGTTTCACGGCATTAAAAAAAACCAGCAACTAAATTTCCCAACTCTGTACTTCAAATCTGAGAATATGTATTGTCTAAATCATTTATATCAGTTTCAAATGTAATACTGTCTACCTTCACTTCTTTACTTCAACAGTCAATCAGCATGGACACGGTTCTGCCTCTTTCCCAGCAGGTTTTTGTATAGGAACATTTCCAGGTTAGGCCAGGTGTCACTAAATGGCAAATATTCCATATTTAAAACAATAAAACAATTAAAATCTTAATTTTGTGGTACTGTTTCAAATAAATAACATTCAAGAACATAAAGTGAGCATCTAAACAGTGTATATTTAAAACATTAAAGTAAATCAAGAACATTCTGAATTAACAAACCATAATATTTGTTTATTTCCTTCAGTGGCACCATTATCAGAAAGATGCCTGTTTATGTCTGATTTGTGGACTTCTTGGTGTATAAAAATAGTTTGATTTTGTGTAGTGCACCAAGCCCAAAGAGACAATCTCAAAACATCTGGACCAATGTTCACTTTAAAACCTACCAGATGTTGGAGCTCCAACCCAATCCCATGACAGAATGTGCATCCTAATCCACATAGACATGTTAAAGATTCGTCTTTAACAACGAATTTGTTTTCCTTACGCTTGTACAACAAACACCTAACTTTTGCTGCTTTTATACTGATGTGGTGTTTGACACATTGAGTCCTGGCCTTGTTTGCTTGGATTAAAGATTTTATCATTAGAAGAGAACCTTCACTAAAGTGTTGCACAAAGTTAGAACTTAACTTGTTGCATGAGGGTTAGTTTAGAAGTACAAATGGGGAAAGGATTTAAAATGTTTTGATCCTCATGAGTTGTACCCATCATGTGACATACAACATCTCAGAGCTTTATGTTTTAGACATGTGAGCACATGACTCTTTTTGACATCTTCTGGACATCAGGTCATTAAATCAGCGGTGATGTCAGCCATCAGCATTTTTTAAACAACAGCAGCAAAGAACTGTTTGTTTTTCAGGTAGGATGAGTGGATTTGACCTTCTATGAGTTCAGGGCAATGCGGCCCGATCACAGAAGCTTGTTATTTTAGCCATTAGAGTCCATACACTATAAACACATTATGAGGTGGCCTTTCTCTCTCATGTGGACACCCTTATTATTCATTCTACTTAAAAAGGCTGTTTCCCTTCAGGTCAAAGGTTCTCAAGTCAGTGATTTACAAGTTTTATTACTTAATTCAGTGTAAATGATGGCTGTCTTTTGATAATATCCTTATTGCAAAATGTAACACGCCTTGGCCAGTTTTACACACAGCCCTGGGTGATTCACAGATTTGTCAGTCTAAGTCAGAAGTAGATTTTTTTATTTATTTTAAAACTACAGTAGCAAATTTGTAAAACTAAACATTTTTATGCCTCTTAACAATGTTCTGACATAGTTTAGCTATAAATAAATTGTGGAGATTAAAAAAACTAAGTGTGAATAAAGTGGTTCTCTCCCATTTGTCTAAAAACCTCTTCCAATAACACGTTTTGGACAGAAAACAACTATTACCGGCCGACTTCTCTGGGGCCTCCATTCATTACACACACCGGTGTATTCAGCAACAGAACACTGTGTCGTGGACAACAAAAGACATTTGGACACAGAAAACAGTGGCTGGTGTTTAGCAATATCTTGTTTCCTCCAGCATTGCAGTTCTCCGGTTCTGGCAGAAGTGTCCAGGAAGATAAGCGAAGGGGAGGGTCAGTGTTCCGTGACCGCGTTTGCATTCAAAACCTAGCTTTTTTGCAGATTCACCATAGCAGCTTTAATTAAACCATCCTTATTGCGTGTTCTCACATAATATGTAAGAACGGAGAAGAACTTTGGCTCACTAGGATTGAATACTCACAGTGGGAATAATGTTTAAAAAGTAAAAAAAAATCTGAAGATAATGAGTAAAATAATGAATCCATAGTTATTTAAACAGAAAAATGTTCACATTTGAATATTAAAACAAGTCTTTTCTTTGTAAATTTAATCTTTTCAAGGTGAATATTGTTTTAGTTGTTGCTGAATATGCAAATTTCTATCGAAAGTAACTTTGTAATAAAAATATATCAGATTAGGAATTAAAAAGAAAAAAAATAATTTAAGGTTCAACCATCATTTGGTGGCTTTACATTATTGATGTTTTATTTTTACAAATCTTCAGCATGTGTCAGAGATTGCACTCATCTGGGATGTTTTTTTAAATCGTACATCCTTTCATTTTAAGGGAGATTTAAGTGAGATATGCTTCTGATTAGGGTTTAACAATCAGAGTGTATTCCAAAGGTTCCACATTTATATCTGAGGTTATCATCCTCATCCATAAATCCAGTGTGAAAGTTCACTCCAATCTGTTGAAGTTAAAACTCAAAATAAGAGCAGTGAAAATGACAACAAATACATTTATTTTAAGAGTGTGAGTTAATGTAATTGTTCTTTTTAAAAGGCAGCAGAGCAGAGATCAACGTGAGAATTGTTCTGCTCTGCTGGGTGTGTGTTTTTTTCTGCAGGAACCAGAGGAGGCAGGTCTAGCCTTGACTGGTGCCGAGAAGTTGTCACACCTGTGTGCAGTTTTAGGTGTTAATGACGGCAGGTGGACAGGTTGTACTTTAGTGGTGTTGCTGCATTCAGCTGCGTTTCCTCTGGGGGATCTGTCCTCTGCCTGATCCCTGACTGCAGCTGCTAATCCCACCAGGTAACTTCATTAATGAACCTTGTACTGAGTGCCTTGTAAAATCAGCACTTCGCATCTCAGATAGTTTAATTATTTTCTAAATATAATCAAGTACTTTTTTGAAATGGTTGTTTTTGTATTAGTATGATTGTATTGATATTGGTAAATTTGGGCTAAAGGTCTTTGAGTAATTTCTACATGTTTTTAACCGACTGTGGTTTCTCTGGCTGCTGTTGAGCTTGCTGCTTTACCTTTGTGACTAAATCTAATCACAGTGATTAACTTTCACCATCTCAAACATTTAGTGGTGTTACATTTATGAGTGCTGACTTGATTTCAGGAATTTCCACTGATCAAGTTGTGCTTAAATAAGCTACAGATGCAAAATAGCACTAATTAGGCCTGTAAGTTAAATGTTGCATATTCATAGAATTTTATTTTTTTGGGACTTTGAATGTCCAAAAAAATGGATACATTTTGAATGTGATAAATCTAAAAAATAATCAGTGTTCTTTCATTAGATACTACATCTATCTGGTATTTCTATCACCACAGATTAAGGTGTGTGCTTTCTTTCTGGACTGAAGTTGATCTCCTTTAGAGCTGACTAAAGGGGGTTTAAAACATCTCTGGGGAAGTTTAATGGATAGTATAAATTATACTTCACCTCGAGCAAGTTTTGTGTGGTACTTTTATCAGTGGAAGTGATGTCCAAAGGTCAAATGTGTTGATCCTGTCCGCTGTTATGAGTTCTTGTTGTTCGCTTGGCTCTCGTCAGAGCAGAGGAAGAAGATCTGCTGGACACACCTGAGGACCTGCAGCAGGTAGACCAGGAATGGTTTCACTTTGCCATGTGTTTGGTCAAAGACTTTTTTTTTAATGTTTTTTTTTTTATTTCTTTATCTAGTTTGGTTGGAGGTTTAATTATAAAGTGGGTGTTGGCACCAATATTTATTTCTACTTCTACATGAACTAAATGTTAGGTTTTAATGCATGTGGTATACATGACTACTTCCAGTGTTGATGTAAAATAAAAATGCCACAATCTACTCCAGAATGCTTTATGAAGGCTTTTACCTTGGTTAGTTATACAGGAAGTAGGCTCAAATTTTAACTTCACTTAAGTCATTTTGCTTCAACAGCCACAAGTTTTGGATCTTTGGAAAATTACAACAAAACTGGAATTGTCTAATTCTTTCACAAGTTTCCCATTTGTCCAGATTTCTAGCATTCTTTAATGAAGTGCATAATGCCCGATGCCTGTCATGTAGAGTTTTATACCAAGTGTGTTGACATAAATCAAAACCACTAACTGGCCTTTAAGACCACCATGACTATAGCTCGGGTGTGTGGCGTTTGAACTGAATTGGATGTAAGTGCTGACAGCCATCCAGAGATCTTCCTAACATTGAGAATTCACATAATAATGGAATGTTAAACATGCCACCAAAACAAAATGTCTTCATTCTGTATATGTGCACTTTAATGCATTTGCATTTTGAGACCGATGCTGAAGAATAGTTGTGACTCATGCTGACTTTGGACTTGATATGGCAACATTACCCAGAGTAAAGGAGCTCATTACATAAGGTGTGTGTGTGTGTGTCCATGATGTTGCTAAATCCAACCATTTCTTGTCTTGCCAGCCAGCCCTGCACCATGGACTTCATCATCCAGTTGCTGTTCTCCCCCCTCCCCACACCAATTGTCATCTCATTGATCACTCTTGGTGTTGCAACCTTGTTTTACCTCAACTCACGACCCAGTCCTGTTCGCTCTCCAGCTGACCTCAAACGGCAGTCTCTAGGTGTCAAGGTAGGACGCTCAGGCTTCAGGAAAGTAAGATACCTCCACGTTACGTTTGGTGCAGAAGAAATTCAATGGAGCAGAGTGAAACATTTACATGATTAATTTTCAATTCATCTTCCTTTCTAGTGTAGTTTAGAACTTCATGAATGGCAGAGATGCTAGTTTTAACTTAAATTGTTACAATTAATTGTGGGGAGCCTACGTCTCCTCCCCTTCCAGTCGACTCATGTGTGCCTGAACAGAAAATGGGAAAAGTGAAAGGGGCTATAACATTTATTTCCTGAACTGCTTTGCCTTATGCCCTGAATCACACATTGTACCTCTACTTTAAAGTTTGAACACAAACATTTGCATCCTGTTAGAGCTCTTGCCATCAATGTCTTTAAAATTCAGACATATTTAAATGCATTGCACAAATGAGATTGGAAAATAACTTGGCGACTTGTAGATGGCATCTTAAAAAAAGCTTGCAGGGCACCCATGCAGGCTCTTCTCGTAAGATTGCTTTTCACCCCTCGAGTGCTTTGTCCTCAGGATGGAGCAAGAAAATCGGCCATTTTGGAGAACAACAACAACCTGATGTCTTATTACCATGATGATGCCAAGACCCTGTATGAAGTTTTTCAGAGAGGCTTGAACGTTTCAGGTCAGTCATTTATTGTGTGTTAACTGCAAATTAAGCTGGATTGTTTCTCATTTTCAAGTTTCCCTTTGCCCAGTTGATGCAAGAGGTTCTAAATGTGTTAAAAAAAAAAATAATAAAAAAAATAAATAAATAAAAAAAATTGTATCCAGTGCATGGACTGAACTTTCTTTGGAGCACATTTAACTGCAAGCCTTAAGGCTGCATCCAGCCACTAGGAGTGCACCAATTCTTGTGTCTGTCTGTGCAACTTCATCTGCAACAATGTGAATACAGCACTGGATCTGTTACAGGTAATGGACCATGTCTGGGCTACAGAAAGAAAGGACAACCATACCAGTGGCTCAAGTACAAACAGGTACATCAAATTAGGTCCTAAGTGGACAAGGTTAAGGAAAGTCTTCAGGCAACACATTAAGCTGATCCATAAGTGATATTTGTACCTATTTTTATAAAACTGACACTTTATGCCCATAGATGCATAAAGCATAACTACAGCTGATGTACTTCTGCATCACTTCACTCAGGAACCATGTAGAGGCCACTAGTCCACCAGACCCAGATTGTATAGAAATTGTTATTTTTGTTCAAGGTTTCCGACAGAGCAGAATTTCTCGGGTCAGGACTTCTTCACAAAGGTCTAAAGCCCAACACCGACTCGTTTGTTGGTATCTTTGCTCAGAACCGACCTGAGGTCAGTGGATTCTTCGTAAACCTGCTCCAGGTTTTTGTCTTGTCTAACTGTTATGGTTTTACTTGCAGTGGATTATCGGTGAGCTGGCATGTTACACCTACTCCATGGTAGCGGTTCCCCTATACGACACGCTGGGTCCTGAAGCTCTAGTGTTCATTATTGACCGAGGTAATTGGAGCTCCTCTTGTACTCTAATGCTAATTACAGTGCCACTAAGAAGTCCAGTAACTCCCTGGTCCCTCAGGAGTTCCTCATGAGAACATGTCTAATCTCTTTATCTCGCCTATATTTTCAGTCTTTGAAAGTTGGATCATGTTTGGCTTCATGTGAACGTGTTGCTCTTTCAGCGGATATCTCCATTGTTCTCTGTGATGATCAGAAGAAAGCAGAAACTCTGCTGCAGAACCGTGAAAAAGGCCATACTTCTGTTCTAAAAACCATAGTGATCATGGACGCGTTCAGCCCAGAGCTGGTTGAGAGAGGGGCGACGTGTGGGGTGGATGTTATGTCCCTGCAGGACATTGAGGTGATGCATCCTGAACACATCTGAAACTGAGCTCATGAACATAATTAAACTTGCTCTGTGCTCACCAGGCGCTGGGGAAAAGGCATCTGCAAAAACCAGTTGTAAGTTTCAAATTAAAGTTTTTTTTTTTATTAACAGGAGTAGCATTAATGACTGAACTAATTTAATTTTCTAACAGCCACCAAAGCCAGAGGACCTAAGCATTGTTTGCTTCACCAGTGGCACAACAGGTAATGGCCTAATCTTCAGATTCCCCATGCGGAGCTACCGAAATGTTGTAGATTTGAACAAATGAGCTGAAACTAAGCAAAAGCACATTTAAAGCTCAAGCCTTCCACATGAACCTGATGAATTGAGATATCTGAGCTTGGTGGGCTTCAGGAGTCAGATGGTTTTATTTTCTTTAGAAATTCCAGAAAGGATAATCAGCCATGTAAAACTTCTACAATACACTTAAATTACATTTAAAATAACACACGAAGCTCTAGGAGATCTAGGACTTGGTACGGTGTTGTATAAAATACAAGCCATTTACTTCATCAAAGTCATTTTTAAGCTGCTTTGTTGCTCATGCATCTGAAATCAGGGTGTCATACCCTGGGCTGCATGGTGGTGCAGTGGTTAGCACTGTTGCCTCGCAGCACGAAGGTTGCAGGTTCGAAACTCTGCTGCAGCTTTTCTGCGTGGAGTTGCGTGTTCTCCCCATGCATGCGTGGGTTTCCTCCGGGTTCTCCAGTTTCCCCCACAGATCACAACAGGCCCTATAGATTATAAATTGTAAGTCGCTTTGGATAAAAGCGTCTGCCAAATAAACATAAACATTCTGAAGTAAAGAACTTTTTGCAAACTGATTTCATTGTTAAAATCATTTGGCCAATTTTTCCCAAAACTCCTAACAAATCTAAAATTTTGTTCCCCTAAATAGAATTCTTGGAGAAAATGCATTAAATTCAAAATTAAACTCCTCATAGATGAAGATTCTACCTTTTATTATCATTTTTTTACCAGACATTAAGGCCTTTGAATATTTATGCACTTGTTTTAAAGGAAACCCTAAGGGAGCCATGCTGACTCATGAGAATGTGGTTGCTGATGCTGCAGGTGTCCTGAAAACCTTTGAGGTGTGTGTGGCGGCTAGTGCATCTTTCAAACATCAGTTTTATCATGAAACTCAACAGTGATTCTGTCCTTCAGCCATCAGTCATTCCTTCCATGGACGATGTCCACATTTCATTCCTACCTTTAGCGCACATGTTTGAGAGAATAGTTCAGGTAAGATCCAAACAGCAGGTCAGATTGTTGATGAGGGGACTGAAGTTATTTTTTTCTAGACTGTAGTTTATAGTTTTGGAGCCAAAGTGGGATTCTTCCAGGGTGACATACGACTGCTACCTGATGACATGAAAACCCTGCAGCCCACCATTTTCCCCGTAGTTCCTCGACTTCTCAATCGTGTGTACGACAAGGTGTGTACGACAAGGTTGGTACAATCTATTAACATTGACTGTTTCTCTGCAGAATTTCCCATTTTTATTTGTCTCCAGGTTCAGAGTGGAGCCACATCTTCCTTTCAGAAATGGTTGTTGAACTTTGCTGTGGAGAGAAAATATGCTGAGGTGAAGGACGGCATCATCAGGAAGAACAGCATTTGGGACAAACTCATCTTCCATAAAGTCCAGGTACCTCCTTTGTCTGAGAGCAGATGGGTTCAATAATTAGAAGATGAAAATGTTCTGAACGTTGCCTCAGGACTCTCTGGGGGGCCGTGTGAGGATCATGGTGACTGGAGCAGCACCCATATCCCCGTCTGTTCTGGACTTTCTCAGGGCTGCTCTGGGCTGCCAGGTAAAGACCTCCTAAACCCCTCTGTAGGTCTTCACTCAGCTTTTCCTTTCCAATATGGTGGTTTTTACATTGGCCCACCACGCTGATGCAAAAGTGGTTAAATGATCACTCAGACCTAATCGGATGAAAATATTAAAACTAAAGTTCAAGTCTAAGGCAAAGTATTTGAGCAGGATTTGGTGTAATATCCTGGTAAGTGGTCCAGGAACAGATTTTTAGTAAAAGCAGACTGAGCACAAGTACAGTGAAATTTACAGAGTGATTTCAATTGTTTTTTGCTAATTAACTCCCAATTCATTTGAAGAACAAGAACTAATCAAATACAGGAAGCTAGCTTATTCTTTTTTATATGGACAATGTTAAATCTCATGCCCCCCCCCCCCCCCCCCCCCCAAAAAAAAGACAAATACTTTAGATATTAAGAACATAACATGCATGGCAGGAAACATAACTATTTTGAATAAACAATTTTTTTAACTTGGTCATTTATCTCACATAATCAAAGTTTGGATTTCATCATGTGACTGAGTTCAGCATAACTCCTAATATTAATGAAATGGATTTGCAAATGTTTTGAGGCTGACCTTTCTTGTAAAGGCTTTTCAGAACTGATTATGTACATAAACTACTTTACTCTGATTTCACACACCCCACATTAAGCTGTTACTCATAATTGTCAGAAAATCAAACATTTAAACTTCTAACCAAAACCGGTAGTCTCAACACTGAAACGCATACTGTGGTAGTTTATGAAAATCCTGCCGATTTTAACAACTTGTCTAGAGTTCAGGAAGTCTTTCTGGATTTTCTGGTTTCTTTAGCCTGATGTTGGTTCCTAAATCTGTAAGGTTTAAACCTTTTGTAACCTCTAAGGAGCCAAAACTGACTCAAATAAATAGTAGTTTAAAGGGGAAGTTATTAGTTTTCAAAATAGTTGCATTGACCCAATCTCTGATCTTAGATCTTTGAAGCTTATGGTCAGACGGAATGTGCTGCTGCATGCACCATCACCATGCCAGGAGATGCCACAGCAGGTATGAAGCTCAAACTGAACAGTGGCTTCCTCCAGATGTAATTCAGTGTTTGTATTGGATGAATCTGCTTTACTACAGGTCACGTGGGGGTGCCTCTGCCTTGTAATTTTCTGAAGTTGGTCGATGTTGAGGAAATGAACTACTTTGCTTCAAACGGTGAAGGAGAGGTATGTTAAAGGAAAAATCTGCCACTGTAGGAGCCACAAAGGAATGCAATTTTCAGTTGGAATTGAAATTAAATGTTTAAGCGAAGTCTTGTATAATCATGCAAAGCACATGATGAAAATGTTCTTGTTGCAAGTTAAGCACAGCATGCCTCTATTTGGTTGCAGAACCCTCCTAAAGCTAGATTTGTCAGGTTCTCTACATACGCTGACAAGTGGCAGTGGTTAAGTAGTGACATCGATGCATGACTGGGCCAAGTTTCAAAAGTTTAGATTTCTTTACTGTTGGATGAGATGTAAAACTTGTATTAACTTGGTTTTTCTTTTAGGTTTGCATCAAAGGGACAAATGTGTTCAAAGGTTACTTGAAAGATCCAGAGAAGACTGCAGAGGCCTTGGATAAAGATGGCTGGCTCCACACTGGTGACATTGGGAAATGGCTTCCGGTAAATATGATCGAAGTTTAGTGATTATATGTTCAGTGAAATCAAATGCTAAAATAAGAGGGGAGTGCACAGTCGATGTGAAAAGGCAAAAGCAGAGGTAAATAAAGTCTCAGGATGAATATTTGGCCAAGAATATGGATGCAAGTAAATGTAGACTACAGCCTGAATAATGGCAGCTGCAAACCTCTGCATGGTGGTCAAATAAGACTCGTCTGTGTTTGGAGAACTCTGTAGACAAAGCTGACCCCAGAGCAGTGTGGATTTAACGAGGCAGGCAAGGCATGGGGCCCTTTGCATCTGTGCTGAACCGTTCTACCTTAGAAACAAACTGAAGTCTCATCTGTAGCATTAATGTTGATACAGATCACTGGAACGGTCTTTCTGCAGCACCGTTAAATTGCATAACATTAGCCAGTGTTGCTTCAGACTTTAACGTTCTTCCTGCTTCTCTTGCTTTAGAGAACACTCGGCTCGATTAAATTTTATTTTACTTCATGATCACCTTATCATTCTCTATTTGCTGCAGTCATGTAATGGTTCACTGCAGCTGCAACAGGGCATATAAGGCAGGCTGATGCCTTTTCAGTGATGTTTCTAGAACGACAGGGTTGATTCATTTTTCATTTTGGAGAACTTCTCAAACATCTAAGTGTTCATCATGGGGGGCCTTCAAATATTTAAGGGCCCAATGCTATCGTCTACTTACTCCTAATCACAAGTCGGAGTTGTATAAAATCAAAGAACAACATTGTTGTAATCCTGTGACTTGTTTGACAGAGTGGTGTGTTGAAGATTATCGACCGCAAAAAGAATATCTTCAAGCTTGCTCAAGGAGAGTACATAGCTCCAGAGAAGATTGAGAATGTGTACATTCGTTGTGGACTTGTGGCTCAAGTATTTGTGCATGGAGACAGTTTACAGGTAAACATTTCTGCAGTTTGTGCATTTAAATTATAGTTCTACCTGACTTAACTCTTTGTCTGCAGTCCTGCCTGATCGCTATCGTGGTTCCTGATGCAGATGTTCTACCAGGTTTTGCAAAAATTCTTGGCATCCAAGGCTCCTTTGAAGAACTGTGCAAGAACACGGTAATGTTTCAGTCTCCGGATCTTTTCACTAATCACGTGTAAGATGAACGTTGACTCGGGGAGATGGGGCTGCAGGAAACTTAATTCCATACTCCAGTTGGAAGTCAAACCACACTTGCTGAAAGAAGAGCAGGGTTGAATTGTCTTTTTAGCCATTTGGAACTACAATAATAAAAACACTTTCTCTTTTCTCCTTTCAGAAAATTAAGACGGCTATAATTTCAGACATGATCAAACTGGGAAAAGAAGCCGGACTCAAATCCTTTGAGCAGGTATGGATGGTTTCTGGTATCCAATGCAATGAGTTGGCAACATTTTTTTATTTTATCCACCCTAATTGTGTCAGAATTGCAAGACTGCACAAATGCCTAACTTATCTCTACCATCTAACCAAAATCAATCCATCTACACATTTAATTCCAGGTGAAAGATGTTCACCTCCACCCGGAGCAGTTCACCATCGAGAACGGCTTGTTGACTCCAACCCTCAAAGCCAAAAGAGCCGAGCTCAAAGTTCTGTTCCAGCCTCAAATCGACCAACTTTATGCCAACATTCAATAAAATAAACATCAGCTACTGTCTTGTTGTTCCTTAAGTCTCAGACCTGCAGAATGAACTAAGCAGAGTATTTGAATCCTGTTTTTTATTTAATCAGGTGACCGTAAGAATTAAGTTAATTTATTCTAGTCATTTAAAATGTGTGGGTCTATGAAACTGGTTGTCTTGCTGTAGAAACTGAGTCAGTGCTGCCCTCATGTGTTAAACACAATGATTTGATCAGTGGCTGCAGTTTTTCTGAAATCCCATGGCTGGTTTCCAGTTTGAATGATTCAAAATGTTTGAGCTCATCAGATGGAGACAAACTACTAGTCTGGAATATTAAGCTTTTGAGCCACAGCCACAAATTGGCATATTATGATGGCAGTACAAAAAAAGGTAAATCTTCAAAAGCTTAAACCCAATCTTGCATTACAGTAAACTTCAAAAACATTATGGAAAATAAGAACCACCAGAAAATTATCAATTATCTGAAGAAACCTTTATAATCAACGACCTGACTTATTTAGTTTAATCTCCTATTGGCTTTGGGAATGAATAGAATACTGTTTTGGTAACTACTGACTTTTGATGGAGAAAATTAAGTGTTAAGAGTCCTAAAACTAGAATTTAACATTTGATTTAAATAACCAAATGTGAAAGGTTGAACAAAAGTAACATGGCACCAATTTCTATACTGAGGTAACTGAACAACCCTTGTAACTATGCTTTCATATGAAGAGAGTTACATATGAAGAGGAGTGTAACAGTTTAGAGCTGCATTTTAACCTTTTATTTCTTGCAAAATGTTTAGTTTCAGTTTTTAACGTAGTGCAACATGGTTAATGTCAGGGTGAGGTGTATTGTAGATTACTTTACTCATCTGAATATTTTCGAGTTACATGTTTAAAGTTGTAGACCTGTCGGGGTAAAGGGTTAAAATCTATTTTTAAGTTGCAGCGCAAACTCAGTTTATTCTTGGTCTTGCGTTAAACATTAGAATGAACAAATCTAAATCGGCAACTAAAACTGTTACTGTGGATAATTCTGATATATTGGTGGATACATTCATTTTTAATGTAAAATCGTGCTGATATTTCTATTAGAAACGTGTGTGGTTTCACTGGAGATGAGTTATTTTGATCAATTTTCTAAATTAAAACTAAATGATGGCACATGGATGAGTAGCTGATGCTGCCCCCTAGCGGTGTAAATCCAGAGTTTCTGTGGTTTCGGTGAAAGTCGCCCCTCAGGGCTGTAGCTGCTCACTCCCCCCGCTTCACCTGGATCCTCCACCCGGGTCAGAACTCCTCTTTCCCGGATCGCTTCCTCACCTATAAGGGCCCAGGTCCGTCCGTCTGTCCCAGAACCAGGCTCGACCCAAATGTGTTGTGCGTTTTCAGGTCGTGTAGCATTATTAATCTTCCTGGACCAGACTCGAGCTGCTTCTTCAACATGGCTTCTTCCGCCACAGGTGACCGCAAAGAGCAGGTAAGCGGACTTCAGGAGTTTTCACGCCTTTTAAAGCAACTTTTAGCTTTATCCCGGTGCTTTGGTTGGTCGCGATGCAGAAATAAACCCGAAAATGTGAGTCTGTTTTTGGAGTCATGCGGGTTAAATTTGTTGTTCTGCAAGAAACTGGATGAATAGCCGCTGAACTCAACCGGCTGTTGCATTAAAACTTAGTTGAATAGTTAAACGTTAAATGATAATAAAGCAGAGGTTGGGGATACGCCCAGAAGTTTGCATTGTTTTGAGTAATTGATATTTGGCATTAACCGCAATAACTAACTTTTCTGTGCAATCTGCAAAAAACACTCAGAATAAATGAATTTACTAGGGTGAAACGATCCCCTTTAAACAGATGACTCACTTTTTTCAGTTTATTCTAGTCAGGTTTTTTTTTCCCGATGGTACAAAAATATCTTCAGTTTATTTTATAAATGTCTCAGTTTTGTGGCAGAAGGGAGGTCAGGTGACAGGTTGACCTGCCCTTGACCCACACGTTCACACATCAAACGCAGCCCCTTTGATGAGGGAGCTCTCTCCTCTTCACACCTAATTGACTAAAGGCAGCTCTCCCTCGTGTTGGTTAAAAAGATACAACCAGTTTTGCATGAATGTAATCCTCCAGGAATGCAAATCCTGAAATAAACTAATTTTGTTCAGTTCAACAATATGAACGTAATTTGCGGCAGGAATACTGAGTTTATGGTTCGTGGTCTGACCCCAAAGCAGAGCAAGAATATTTGAGAATTATCAAATGGTGAAAATATGGTCCATGTGTGCAGTAGAGGGATGAAATGCAAAGCCAAAGCTCCAGGTTTTTAAAATGACATCTGAGACAGGCCTGTTTACACATTTAGATGAATGCTATAAACACCAAAATTTGGTCCTATTTTTCTAATATGAGCTTCATATGTAGCTAGTAGTCTTTCTGTAACTAAGCTTGGCTCTTTGGCGTATGTTGTGTATCTGACCGATGTCCTGGTTCCCCACTGGCATTAGATAATTGCCTGGTTAGATCCAATAGATCAAATTACATCCATTATCAGCTATAAACACTAAACCCATCACACATTTGTTATTTCTGCTCCACTTCTTTAATATTGTGATGGGCTATCGTCATTGGATCAGCAACTTCTGTTGTAAAACTAGAGAAGCAAAGAACACTTTGGTTTAAATGTCAAATGAAAGTAGACATGGTAATAACTTGGCCTGTAGTCAAATTTGCGGTTAGTGAAAACATGCAAAAGGTTACAGTCAAGGATGCAAATACTATGAACGTGAAACTAATCTGGACTAAAATAAACAAATATCAACAGTTTGGCCTGCTGAGGAATGATCTGTTGCACTAAACTTTAGTTAAAGCTCTGTGACTCTACCATAAACCCCTTCTGTGCTCCACCAGACTGCTTCAGAAACCCAAACCTGGACTCTGACCCTGCAGAAGAAGATGTTTTATAGCCGCTAGTTTAGATGTTATCAGTAATGACCATTAAACATTTCACAATCAGACAATACAACATGTTTTTCTGTGAGACTTTCCAAAAAGGTGTTTTTGGTTAAGTTATTCAGGTCCAGCTTACCCGTCTTAAATAGCATCCTGAATAGTTTGGTTTAGAGAAACTGTGTTGATGTGCAAAAGGACTGAGTTAACTGCTAGTCAGACATACCCAAGGTCTGTGTACTTGGGCCGTTATGAAACTGCAACAGTCTCCCACATCTGGAGTGGAGTCCATCCAGACTCTGACTCCAGAATAGACTGCTGCCATCTTAAAAGGATACAATGCAACTTTTTCATATTTTTAAATCATTTTCTTGAGCCAATATGTGTTAAAATGACCCTTTACAGGGTTAATGAAATGTCACTCAGACCCCTACCGCCCTCTGTAGCCAGAATATCCGACTTGCAACTTCTGAGTGGTGGGCTGCCACCTGTTTGGAAAAGTGGAGCTGACATGGAGCTGCAGTCTGCTTCCTGCACGTTTCCTGTATGTTTTAGAACACAAACACAGCTGATTTGTTTGATTTAGTGCTGAATCACTCCCGTAGACACTAGTGAAAACTGGGGAGACATATCAGCTGTTAGATAAAAGGTATAGCGGAAGTTGTTTCTGAATTTCAGGAAAGGACTGTCCGCTCGTTGTTTTGGAAAAAATGTGCATGAGAACGCCCAGTTAACCTCATTACACGTAGCTGCCGGCCCTGCAGCCAACTTCTTCTTTTAGCAGCAATCTGGATTGAATTTCTCTAAGTAGTATGCCGAACTTTAGCTCACCTGTTGAGCAGAAAACTGGTGACAGAGGCGAATGTGGGGAGCCCAAACTTCGCTTTGCACATACGCAGGAAGTGAAAACTACCTAGCAACTTACGAAGACAGCCTTGCGTGAATGGTTCACCAGAATGATTGGCACTTAAGCAAACCAAAGGTTCAGATGATCCACCTGGAGGAAAAAGATCCTCTACTATACCTTTAAGGTGTTCAGAAGATCAAGGCCCAATCTCAATACTCGCACTTGCACCCTTGCGCCCTTCAATTGCACGTTCCCGGCCAGGGGTGCAAGTGCGTAGGGTGTCCCGATTCTCAAGTGTGGAAGTTGACCACTCCCCCATTGCGCCCTTAATCTGCACTTCACCCAAGTTCGCAGCGATGCGGACCTCGGTCAAGGGTATTACCCACAAGTCATTGCTGCAGGAGAAAAGCCTTAAGTTCCGTTTTCTGAAAATATGTATTTTCTAATGAAATTAGTTTATTTTAGGACGATTATGTTGATGCTCTAAAACTTTCAAAGCAGCAATAAATGTAAATTAATTTCAAATAACTGGCTGTTTGAAAGTTGTTGATAAATGTTTTTGAAAAAAGTATGGCAGCGACCAGCATGCGTTGCGATCGATGACGCAATGCTCCCCATCTCAATACTGCCATTATTTGCACACTTGTGTACTACACGCTCGAACCCTACTGCACACTTTCTCCAAGTGCACTTTTCTGAAGTCCGCAGGGCGCATTGTGAGTTTTGAGATTGGGCCCAACTCCCAGCGAGGAGATAAGTTTCACTTGTGGTTCTACTAAATGGACGTTAGGGGTGTGAAAGCAAGCCAAACTGCCAAGTGTGTCTTTAACCCTTTAAGACTGGTGGGAGCGCTGGCACTCTCATTTGCATATCTGTGTTCAAATGCTTGTAAAACTGAAACTATATAAAATAGAACAACATTTTATTTGCATATTAAACTGCAGCAGTTGCACTTATATCTCACACACTGAACACATCCCAGAGCCCTGCGCATTTCCGCTAATGAGTTTGCAACAAAACAATAAAAATGTGCAAATAAGAAAGGCGTTTTCATTCAGACACAGACACTGTCATTCTGATCTGTAGCTCACAGGGCTTCACACACTAGAATAAACATCATGTTGTCAACATGAACTGTCACATGGTTATCACTCACCCAATCACATGCATTGACGTAATTTTCCCGCAAAGTGTAGTTCTTTGTAGTCTCAGTCTTTCGGCTTTTTCTTGTGCTTTTCATTAA